GGGGCCCCGGACGTGCATCGGTAAGAATATTGCCCTGCATGAGATCCGTGGCGTCCTTGCCAGGTTCCTGTACGACTTTGACCTGGCCTTGACGCCGGAGACGGAGGACTGGCTCCATATCAAGACGCACTCTATTTGGTCAAAGCCCAAGTTGCTGGCCCGCATTACCCCGGCCAAGATGAGTGATCTTTAGACTTTGAGGGAAGTTCAGCTCGGATTCGGAAAGATAGTGTTGACCGAGTCAAGAGTTGCGGGCAGTTTTCAGGTGGACAAAGACGAGGGTAATTGGTTGTCACGGCTTATGATGTGGAGTTGTGAGTTGTTGAAACTTGAAGAAGGTGGGAGGTCTTTGAAGTCTATTTAGGATATAGTCAAAAAATTGACTTGTCAGGTTTTCATATTAGGCGAGTTGCGTATGTATTTGTTGACTTTGTATTATGCCCACTTACGGAGTACAAATCCACTTGGACTACAAGGATTTAGCTGCCCAAGCAGTTGTCTGTTCTTTCGCTTTACATTTTTCGGCAACTGAAAAGTGTGGACATTGTGCTTCAGGGATTCCGGAACGCTGGTCTAATTGGACACCCTTGAAGCTCCATGCCTTATATCATGTCGACTTTTGTCGTGATCCATTTCGTACTTTCAACCAAAAACTTAAAAACGCCACATCTTAGTACGAGACTTGCCTATTGGATTATGGAACCAACTGTAAACAGAAGTATCACAAACTTATTTGCAATATGCCGACGGGACTTGGTTCCTCATGCGTTGTCACCGTTGACTTTCAAATCAGACACACAGGCGGTAGTTTTTCCGGCTCTTTCGGTATCTCGGCGGGGCCGCGGGGCTGCCCTCGGCCCCACATCCGGCAATCACGATTTGACCTCCACTTACACCTACAGCCTCAATCTGGGGGACTTTACGGATACGTGTAGAATTACTCGTCAGCTCGACTAACCATAGCTTAGACCGCAATCTCGGCAACAGAATACACAAGCTTTTTTCCCTTGATCAACCCTCTCCGCACCTCCTGCATACCCTCACCAACGCCCGCCAACCCCCCGCGGCGCACCTCCAACGGCTGCGGTACGACCAGACCCTCGTCCAGAAGCCGCTGCGCAAGAACATACCACGCCTCAGCGCAGACCCGGTCGTCGACGCGGGCATCCAGGTCGAACGGCGGGGCCCAGGCCACATCGTGACCAAACTGCGTGTAACAGCACACCCAATCCGGCTCGACGCTGCGGCGCGTGTGGCCGCGCAGGGGAAAGGGGTCAAGGGCCACGTATCGACCGCCGGCGGGGCCTAGGGCCTTGTAGCATGTCGACATGGAGTCTGAGTCCGAGATGCAGTCGAGAGCGAGCGTGAGAGCGCCCTGCGTGTAGCTCAGGACGTCGGCGCCGCAGCTGGGCGAGCGATAGTCAAAGGTCGCCGCAGCGCCGAGCTTCAGGGATCGTGCTGCTGAGGATGTCGAGCACGTCGTGATGGGGGTGAAACCCATCAGCTTGAGGACCTGGATCGCCATAGCCCCAGTGGCCGTGCCGCCTCCATAGACCAGTACATAGGATGCCGAGCTTGCGGTAGTTGATGCTGCTGCTGAATCCTTGTTCGAGCCGAGCTGCAGAGCGCCTTTTGTATTTTCTGGCATCGCCATCTTCATGTACTGGAAAAGAGACAGTCCGACGGTGGCCAAGGCGGCAGGCAGGGAAGCAGCGGTGGCAAGATCCATGCTGGCTGGAATTTTCCAGGCCAGGCGCGCAGGAACAACGGCATACTCGGCAAACGCACCGTTATCCCGCCGGAGAGGGTTGTTTCCAAAGATGCCGGCCATTATGCGGTCGCCCACATTCCAAGCCTCTGCATCGACGTCGCTGCCTAGAGCGACCACAGCACCAGAGAAATCAGTGCCGCTGGTTGCGCCGGGTGTGGGAGATAGGTCGGCAGACTTGCAGTCTACCTGGTTGATAGAGACGCATGCCACGCGGACGAGCAGCTCGGACCGGCCTGGTGAAGGTACTGATGCATCTTCGGACACGTAGACATGTCCAGGCCCAGATACTTTGAGTGCCTTGTGGGTGGTGGGTAGAAAATCCGGAGCAGTCATGGTGCAATGAGTAGTGTACTAGAGGTCTGAGTGATGCTGTAGAATCAACGGCTTCAAATCGCTGGATGTGAGGTGAGCGGGGGTATTTATGGTCCGAAAATGGCTGCTATCCTGGGCGCTTTGGGTTGACCGACATGATTCCTCCTTCAGTCATCGCAAAACTGAGAGTAGATCTCAGCTCCACCAGAGAGTAAAGTCGAGGAGACTCTGTTGTAAAGACAACACTGGATGAGAGGCTCGAAATGCTGCATATGGACTTCATGTAACCCTCTTCGTTTTACTGTCTGACTAAGGAATGACAGCACGGTAGGAAACACAAGCGTACATTTTGCCAAATTCAGAGAAGTAGTGCGTCATTCGACTTCATTTTTTGATTACGAGCTTAAAGTCGCGAATTCATTATGAGCTAAAGGTAAGATTTGGTTTACTACGAGCATGGGGTCTTGTATTCTGAAAACGTCGTTTAAGTCGCGTTCAACCAGTCAAACTTTGGGTACAGAGCTGCCAACGCCTCTGGCATTTGATTGCCCACCATCACATTGCTTTCTTCGTCGTTGTCGCCCTTGTACACAACGACCAGGTTGTGATAAAAGGTCATTGACACAATATGCTTATCAAAGTACGTCGGTTGATACCCAGGAATCTCAAACTCCTTGTGATTCAACCCGTCGAGGAGACTCTTGAAGAACCCCATGGACGACGTCTTCGCGTTCAGGTCAGTGCTCGAACCACCAGTGACCTTCCAGTACGACGTCTCCAGGTCTTCCACAGCATAGATACCACCCTTCCTTAATAGCGGGAATAGGATCTTGAACGAGGCAATGACGTGGTCGCAGCGATGGCTTCCGTCGTCGACGATGATGTCGAACCCACCGCACTCATCATGCATTCTCTTCAGAAGAGCCGGGTCGTCTTGGCTGCCGCGATAGATGCGTATGCGGTCCTCTTGCAGCACCGTCTTGTCGTAGTAGTCGAGGCTCACGATCTGCGCTTTGGGGAAATACTCCTTCCACATGCGCAGCGATTCACCTCCGGCTTTAGGGTCCTCGAACCCGCCCACGCCAATCTCCAGGACGTTGATCTCGCGGTGCCGGAAGGGGCCGAAGTGGAAGTCGTAGTGCGGTGCGTACAGGTGTCCGCCGACCTCCATGGTGGTGCCTTGCCGAGTGATGGACACCTTGCCTTCTCTGTGTTTGTCCGTGCCGTGCTTGACGGCGAGTTCAGTGAGAGGCGGGCCCATGATTGGTGGTTTATGACCAGAGTATGAGTTTGCGATTAAGATATGCAGCTCTATGGTGAGAAAGAATTCGCCAAAGTGTCAAAATGGGTGGCAACCGTAACGACGTGGGGGAATTGGACGTGGTTGGAGTGCAACAAGAAAAGCAAATTACAGACAACCTCGAAAGCTAGAACTAACATGAATGTTATAGAGGATACTATCTACACTCAGAACTTCGGAGCCAGAGCCACCAAGATGCAAAGCACGCCTACCATCACACTAGAAACTGAGAGTAGGCTATCCATAAGTGACAACAAACAAGATGTCTAATGCAGGTTAACTCCGCGCATCTCACAAAGCAAAGCTTACACGGAGGTTTCCCACCACGGGTGGGTACTCCTTGCCGGCATCATTCAACCCGCCAAAGCGGTCAGTCCGGCGCCGAAGTCTCCGTCGGGAGATGTGAAAATCCCCTCTCTTCAGGACCCTGATGAGGGTCGCAGGAACGTGTCCCTATTGGAGCTTGTATTTGCAAGGGGATACAGAATAAGGCTAGAACAACCTTCGGTACGGAGTGAAGCACTCTCAAAGTCTCCTGAAACTTAGACAGCTGAGCCCCTTCATCGCAGGAGGACCAATGATCAGCAAGAACGTCCTATGGATTCCCAGCATTGAGGACCGGAACAAGGAGTGAAGTCCGCAAATACCACCGGCAGATGCCTGGATCTACATTCGAGAGATCGCCATTGGATGCACTGCTTGGGGGTCCTCTTTAGAGTTTCGGACCCGTCAACGTCAAAGGTAAGTTAAATGAATTATGAAGAACAGCAATACTTCCCGTCGGACCGTGCCTCCCAAGCCGTTAGTAATCGCCAAGTTGCATCCCGTTCGGCATGATCCGCTTATGTGGCCATGTTACATTCCGCTTCGTCCCCGGCGACGTTGATGGCGATGCTGTCAACCCCACCGACCAACCATTGCACCCTGTGCGGCCTGGCATTTTGACTTCAGCTGATGTTGATCACAATCGACAGAGTTCTTAAGATTTAGAGTTCAGATAAGATCACTTCTCTTCATCAGATCTCGAGCAGAAATAATCAGAAAGACTTCGGCGAAGTACGGAATACTTCGTATATGTAACATGGATGAAAGTCCCAATATTCGTAAGCACTGGATAAGGTATTCCTTGAGTCATGCTACAGAAATTGGTAGTCGTAGTTCACGCAGACACCTCACATGCATACTTCGCATACTCCAAAGACGAGTGTTAATATCGCGAGGAAGATACTCTACTGGCTGGTTCCCTCAGTACGTATACGGGAACGACCACTCGAGAGCACGCGATTGCTAAGCTTTGTACTTGCATCGACGGCAGCTCATGCTCAATGGGTCTGAACCGGCCAAGAGAAAGTCTGACCTCTGGCATCCCAGAGTGAAACCTGTGACGATTCTATCAAGGCGGTGAAGAATGGCACGCCGGGATATTGGCGCATCAAAGATAGAAGCAGACGGGAAATTGGAAGCCCGAATCTCGTTGTGGCTTCCTGGGAGAAGCACCTCAAAACGAGGTTGAGGTTCGTAATACTGACAGGGTGGTTACGTCTGCGTCTTCTGTCATATCAGTTTCAGCACTGATCCTGGACCTTTCTCATCGCGACTCTGTAATAGCGTGCAAAGATGGTATACTTCATAGCGTGTCTATTACTGGCCGCGGCATACGTTGTATCTATTGCCGTCTACAGGCTATTCTTCAGCCCTCTTGCTCGTTTTCCGGGGCCCAAGTTGGCCGCCCTCACATTCGGCTACGAGTTCTATTACGACTTTTTCAAAGATGGAGGTGGCCGATACTGGGCTGAGATCAACCGCATGCATGATGTATCAGGTAAGTGACGAAGTGATTCGGAGTTACTTGCTCAACTTGAAGATGTCAACTTATCTCTCTATCTAGGACCCATAGTGCGTATAAACCCATGGGAAGTGCACATTCGGGATCCAGAGTTCACCGAAGCCTTCAAAATCTCGAGAAAGACGTCCAGGCCGTGGTGGTATTACCGGTCCAATGGTCCGCCGAACAGTGTCCTACAAGCCGGGTAAGTGAGACTGCCTTATGGACGTCTGTTGTCCTCATTCACGAGTGTTTGCTGACCCCTCGTTCTTCCGTGCCTCTGCTCAGCCCTCATGAGCTACATCGGATGCGCCGCGAGGCTATCCTGCCCGTGTTCGCCACCCCTCTGGTCATGTCTCGCGAACACTTATACGAGGCGCTGGTGCAAAGATTACTCGCGAGATTCCGCGCTGCCAAGGGCACCGGCGCCGTATTGACCTGTAAATCAACTCCCCTCCCTCCCAATTTCCCTATCCCTTTACTTTTCCATCGTCAGAGGTCTTGCGTGTGTACCTGGTGACTTTGCTGACCCGCTGACCTGTCCATAATCTTTAGTGGGCCATGCTTTCCGATGCCTCGCCATCGACCTGACTTGCACCACGAACCTCGGCTACGACTTTGGGTTCGTCGACGTCGAGGACTTTGAGAATGAAATGTTCAAGATTGCGAGGACCCTGGGTCGCATGAACATGATCAGCCGGCACATCGGACACTGGTTCTTTGCGGTGATGCGAGCGCCCGCGCGCTGGGCCAAGCGCGCGGAGCCCGTCAGTCCTGGGATGATTCGCGTTTTGCGGTTCCGGAACGTAAGTGGTTTACTTGATTCTCGTTATCGGAGTCAACATGAATAAAAAAGCCTCCAAGTGACTAACATGAAATGTGTGGCTTCTCTGCTCAGATGATCGACCAGGCCGTCACAGATCAGTATCGTGCTGCAACGACCAATGACACAACTATACGCGAAAAGACCGGCGGCGACAACTTCAAATCCACCGTGCAGCATATCCTCGAGTCAAACCTTCCAGCCCACGAGAAGGAGTTGACGCGCGTGGTAAACGAGGTCTGGCTCTGCATCAACGCGGGCATCGACACAGAAGGCCAAGCCATCGCCTTTGCGACCTTTATGCTCCTAAGCCACCCCGACAAGCTCGCACAACTCCGCAAAGAGCTGGCGGACTGCGAGAAGAGGCTCGGTAGATGTCCCACGTACCAAGAGCTCAAGGAGCTAAACTACCTACACGCCGTCGTCCAGGAGTCGTTCCGTCTAAACCACCCCATCGCCGGCCGCTTGCCCAGAACCGACCCGGACAATGAGATTCAGTACGGGGACGTAATCATACCCAAGGGTGTCACCGTCTCCGTGTCCACGTACGATATCTACCTCGACGCCAACATCTTCCCAGATCCGCACAGATTCGAGCCCGGACGTTGGCTTGACCCGGGCGAGAGGAAGCGCCTCCGCAAGTACGTCAACAACTACGGCCGCGGGACCCGCAGCTGCGTGGGGATGGACGTGGCCAATATGGGAATCTACTTGACGCTGGGGCGCATCTTTGCTCCGTCGGCTGGCTTCGAGCTGGCGTTGCACGATACGCTGTATGAGCGCGATGTCGCCTTTGATGCCGACTTTTTCGGGGCGTTTCCCAAGAGCGGTTCGAACCACATCAAGGCAACCGTAGTCTAGAGAAACATGATTTATGGGCTTGCGTTTGAGATGAGCAAGTGTCCTTTGGGACAATCCGTGACTCTTCGGCTCGATAGAATCAATAATGAGAATGACATTACCCAAGGCTCGAGTTCGAAAGACTTCAGGTGGGCGAAAAGCTCTCGATTGAATAAATTGAATCACACGTCGGCTCGCACGTTGCTTGAGACACTTTGTGTATGTTCGGTAGACTACATCTTGAAGGTCTGACCATTTCCTTCGCGGTAAGAAGCGGTTGATAATCGTAGATCGGTTGTTGTATTGCCCGTCCCAAGAAGCAGTGTTCATGTTCAATATTCTTGACAATCATAGCAATAATGGTAGAGTGTCCCCAAAAAAAGAATCAAATTGTGTTCCCGTAGACACTTATCAGCTATACAATCATTGTTGCATGCTCAACCACACATCTTGAAAGACATGTCCGGCAAACAAATCCAGCCGAGAGCCTCCAACCGACCACGAGCCATTGGCACCAGCCAGATCATGGTATACCCTTATTCGTCAGCCTCTTCCTCTTCCTCGTCATCATTATAATTCTCATCATCATCATCATCATCTTCATCCTCATCCTCGTCCGAACTCCACCAGAGAATATGCCGATGAGCATACCCAGAATACATCGGCCGAATCTCCACCCTCTTCGCCCGATCCTCCTCGCTCATCCTCCCCTCGACGAACCTCCACGTATCCATAACGACAACATACTCAACCGTATCCCCCTCCCCGTGATGAGCCCACGTCTGCCCACCGAGCTTACTCGCCCCCGTCCAAGTCCACTCCACCAGCTCCGTCCCCTCGGCACTCAAATACCCTTCTTCTTCTTCCTCCTCCTCCTCTTCCCCCTTCTCCTCTCCATCCTCTCTCACCCTCCCATCATCCCTCCCAGCACCACCACCCCCAACAACCAACTTCCACCCCTTATTCCTCCCCACAATCCCCATCATCTCCTCCCTCTTCCCCACAAGCGTCTCATACTCGACCCTCAGCTCCCTCAGACCCCTCGGCCCCCGGAACCCCCGCAACCAATCCTCCTTCATCCGCAACGGCTCGTCGCTCTCCCAGTACCACCAGTCCGAGTACCGCACCGTGATCGTCAACACCTCGGGCCGGAACTGGGGCTGCGCAAACAGCGTCGCCAGGTTCCGCCCTTCCTCTAGCCAGTACATCTGCGTAAAGAAGCGCACCTTGGTCAGGTCGCGCGCCTGTTGCTCCGTCAGGGCGGAGAAGAACTTCTCGCAGGCGTGGTTTCTCGTTCTTCCTTCTGGGCCGCGGTCTGGACACACCCAAGATTAGTTCACTTTCGTTCGTGAGCAACCCAAATCACATCAAGATCTTCACAGAGCTTCGTGTAGAGGCCAAGGGGGGATGAAAACACTCAAACAAGGAAATATAACATACCAAACCAAAAAGCCCACTCCAACTCCCTCAAAAACACCTTCTGCCCCTCCACATACGCCAGCTTACACGCCCTCAGCAAACTGCTACTACTCTTCCTAGGTCCCGTGAACCCGGGCCGATACCAGTACGAGTCCTTCGGGTACGCCGCGCCCCCCTCCTCCTCGGAGAACTGCACCAGCGCCAGCGCAAAGATCTCGTTGCGGATCTCGCCCGGTAACGTCCCAAAGAGCGGGCATTGGAGCTGGTTGTCGTACGTCGAGACGTCAATCGTCGTGGTCGAGTCCATGATTTTGTCCTTCTTCTTCTTCTCTCTTGGCGAAATCTTGTAGAAATCAAAAACTCTTTATGAAAAAGATGATGGTTGGAGGTGATGGTTGTCAAAAAAAGACCTCTCGTGCGAGTGGTGGCGTACAGACGAACACACCACTTATAAACCTCGTCCCTCTCCAATGGAACCGTGTTGGGCGTCGCACAGAGCGGGGTCGGCTGCCTGCTGTTGCCTGCATCCTCACATACCAACGTGCCTCAACTGATCTCTAACGAACAGCATTCATGCTTCTGACCAACCAAGCCGATACTAATTTTCTTTCCCTTGGTTCCCTCAACACTGCAGAGTTGCTAGATCTACAATGCTTGGCGCTTTCTCTCCTAAGTTGCGGTGACAAGACATGAACAATTAGTTGGGATGAGGTAGTCCAAATTGGGACTGGTTATTTTGCAAAGTATCAATTCAATACCAAAAGCGATTCGTTCAATTAGCTTGTATTCCATGAAAGCGCGGCCGTAAGAATGGTATTACATGCAAGCATTAACATCACCAACTCCAGCCTGTCCGTCCTGATATCCTTCATACAAACTGGAAAGCATCGCACGACGAATCCCCATACCGCTCTAGTGAGCAACCACAGACTCGGTCTGCCTGGTACCATTGCTCACAATGCTATCGGTGTCCTTCTCCGAAACTTCCTGGTGCGCAGGAACCGAGCCGGCCACAATCTTAGCGTCCTCGTCGTGTACCGCGTTCTGAGTGCCCCTAGTGTTAGACACGGAGTCGGACTGTGCAGCACTGAAATCGTCCTGCTCTGGGCGCCAGTCGCGCAGGTCATCCTCGGCGTCATTGAGAATCTGTCGCGCCTGTTGAGCGTGGTGATACGTGGGACGCTCGTCGCCCGGTACGACAGGAGTATCATCGAGGAGGTGAAGAAGCCGTCGGCCGTGCTTGGCCAGGATGATTTGCTTCTCGGCCCTCTCAATAGTTGCCGCGAACTCGGCTTCGTACGCTTCCTTGAGCTTCTGGCGAGTCTGTATTATTTGTTAGCAAACTAGTGTCAAGGACTTGGGGAGGTCAGCTTCATACGATATTCGACAGTTGAGCTTCGGCGACCAAGTTCTCTGCCTCGGCGCGGACAAGCTCCTGCTCAAGGACCACGAGCCTCGCGCTCTGGGGCTCCTTCAGCTTGAGCTTGGCAATCTCGTCGGCAATCTTATCCTTGCCATCACGGCTCGGCTGCACACTCTTCTCCGTGTTGCGAATGTGCTTCAAAACACCGCGTGCATCGTCCAAAGAGTGAGCATACTGTTCCTCCTGCTCGCCAAGCTCGCTCAGGATGACGCCGACCTTGTCCGAGACGTCCGAGACGGCGGCGTCGTTGGTCTGCTCGCCCCACTCGGACAGCTGGGTGGCAATGGAGGTGCGCTCACGGCCGGCGGTCTCGTGGGCGTTGATGAGGTTGTTCTCGCTCTTGATGATCTTGTAGAGTTTGCGCGAGAGCTCGGGCTGAACGTTGCCGCGGAGGGAGTTGAAGGAGAAGCCGGCGCGCTTGGAGGCGCCGTTGTTCTGGGAGCCGTTGCGGCGGTGGCTGGATCTGATGGAGAGTGATCGGTTCCTGTGAGCGTGTTAGTCGAGGGTTTCGAGCTTGGTGGGTATGACTGTGTATAGACGTAGAAGGAGACGTGATGGGGACCACTGAAGCGGAAATGCTTATGGGTTTCGTGCTGATGGCGAGGCCATGGCACTCGTCGCTGTTTTGGGGGGAGAACCAGCGTCGCATTTTGGCTGATGTGGTGATGGGTGATGTTGTGTGAAGCGGATCTCACTTACATGATGGCGGTTGTCTGGATTCAAGAGCAAAGTACCTCTGTTACCCAAGCTGTACCTTCTGATGATATCGCGAAGCTCAGAGGAATGAGCTACTGGGATGCGGTGGGAAGGAATAAACCTGGTCCCGGTAGAGTGTTAAGTGTACGAGTAAGACGCTGGGTCTGGGTATCTACGGGATCTTCGAAGCCAAGACTCAGGTGCGCCTGTCTGGTTCAAACAGTTGGGGCAGGGCGCAGAAAAAGGTTGTTCGTCGAGAGGAAAGTTGCAGTGTAGGATGCGACAGCCACGATGCGATGCGACAAGGGTCCTGCGTTGACTTTAAGAAGGGGTCTTTGGGGAGGAAAGGATGGGGGAAGGAAACACTTTGCGACGGCACAGTCGGGATGAAGGAAAGGGCCGAGTGAGACACTCATGTCATAGTTCGGGCTTGCTGGCAGGCCGGCATTCCACATCACAGGAGAGAAACTAAACTCAAGAGAGTGAAGGTACATTGGCAATAACCCGGGTAGCTCTGGTAGCTCGAAGCTCTAGTCTTCTTCGGGCCGGGGAGAGCGAGGCAGGCCACGACAGCTTCCCACCACTCTGGGCGTGGGCCTTCATGGTAGCTCAGGTATCTCGTGGCGAGAGGACAATCCTTAAGAGATAGTAGCAATGAAGCACGCCGAGAAGTATAGGCTGGTGGGCGGTTTGTGCGGCTAGTTCACCTGTTTACTACAGTCGCGTACAATAGAACAAGCTCTCTCTCAACTTTTGGAGGTGTGGTGATGATGATGCGAAGGATGACGAAGGGGGGGTTGGAGGGGTCGCGCCAATGATGTCATTACCCGTCCGGGGACTCTAAGCGACAACTCGGGAAAATCGTCCCCTCCACTCCCCTCCGCTTCCTGGTGGGCAGCTCCCTCCCTCCAACTGGCTTCCCCCGAATCGCATCATCGTGTGACAGACATTTCATAGAGGGACATCTGTCACCAGGTGCTCACATACTTTTACAGACACAATACCTAATTTAGCCCATAAGGCTGATGAATCAAATGCCATCAAACTCGGGCAACTTCCAGGTGCTCATCCCGTGTTCTGTTGCGCACGGCTGTGCAATGCTTGAGGCTCACAGACGATGGAAGCCGCATGGGTTTGTCATGCGCACGTCTTCATTCGTGGTGAATGTACTTTGGCAAATTCATCCTGAGGTGAGAGAGAAAAAATGCTTCATTGCGTGAAAAAATCTTGTTAAACAAGCCGATATCATATAAACTTGTAAACTTTCGTAGCAATCGTTACCGCCCAGTCCAAAAAAGACACCATTAATCATACAGAAACTCCAGATCCCCAGAAGCCGGGGGCATACCACACTCTCGTGAATCACACGATCGAGCGCCTGTCCAAACTGGCTTTCGGACAGCTTTCTCTCCAACCAAAAGAAACCAGACCGGTGCCTCCCATATTCGCTATCGCTGTTCGCAATGTTCTTCCGCGGCTCATATAAATAAACCTTCTTTTGTCTTTCATCCGTCTCATGTAATTGCCCGTTCTTCTTTCCCCCACCCTCTGAAACGTCCATGGGCCGTTCCCTCGTCTAAACTCCCCCCCCGCTTCGCGCCGCTCCCACATGCTTAGGATCGTTCAAGCAGCTTTCTGGGGCATGATGCTAATGCCGATAGGCAGACAGCCCTGGGCTTACTGACTCATCGGTAGGTGCGGCTCGTCCTCTCGTAGACGACGGGTTCGACGTAGCTGACCCGCGGGCTGCTAGCGACGTACGACCTCCTCACGCTCGTGTAGCTCGCGCGCGGGGAGTGTCCGTGGTGGTGGTGGTGGTGACCGTGGTGGTGATGGCCGTGGTGGTGGTGATGGTACCGGGTCGGTACGATCTCCTCTTGGTAGTAGTACTTCTTGCCTCCTGCTCCGAAGCACATTTTGGAATGATGGATGAGGTGGTTGTAAGCTCGGTGGTTTGCAGTGAGGTATTAGAGGATGTAGATGGTCGTTTATTGGATGAGGTTGAGGTTGAGAGGTTGCGGTTGATATTAGGTCGTCGTCGGCTAGTCGGTTGACAAGCTGGAATAAATAAGGTAGAAGATCCCAAAGAAGATTCTATTTGCTTAAAGTGCTAAGGCTATGCATACGCCGGACTGGAAATTGAACGGCGATGGTGGTGGGCGGACAGGCTGCCTTTTTATGATTTCCTATTTCCTTCTTCAACCCCCTTCAACCCACAAGTCAGTCAGGCTTGGACCTCTCTTCCAAGCCAAGTGTGTTTACTAAAGCAAGGTAAAGTAGCAGTAGTCAGGGGTGGAGGGGGGAAGGGAAGACTCGAGCTTTCCAAGGATTATGCGGTCAGTCATCCATCCCTTCTATCCCATCCATCCAACCCATCCCACCATTACCTACGATTAAGTGCCTTTTTCGGACGGGGGACCGCGGCGGCCCTCACCGAAACCCTGGCGACGGTGAGTGCTGGTTGGTGGGATGACGGTGGAGGGGAAAGAATTCATAGTGCAAGAAAAGCGGCTTGGCTTTTTCGTCTGCTGCATTTTCTGGCTTCTCGATTCTGCTTATTGCTGGTGGGCAGTGTTCGTTGAGTACGCCATACGGTTACTTTCTCTTCCAGGCTTTTCAGGCGTGGGCGTGAGCAATGGGGGAGTGGGCGCAGCTGCCCTGGTTTCCGAACCCATGCTCCAACCCGCGCCGGGGAACAATTACGAACAGACAGTTAGAGTTGGGGGGAACTTGGATCTGTACATCCTTGTTCAAGAACAAGCAGATATGACGGACGTAAGAAAAAATTCGGGGGCGTGTCTAGACCGCCTGTGGGAGCTGCGTCAACCGATTCACCACGCCCAGAAAGCCAGGGTCTCCCCCACCTCGCAGTTTGATCCGCGTGAGATGGCAAATGGGTCCCCTAAAAACCACCTATCTACAGCTCAGCAAAAAAGGTAGGGCGGACGGTTCTAGCTAGGGAAGAAAAGTTGGTTCTTTCGCAAAGAGGCAGGGTGAAGGGGTCCAGAACATCTCATCGTCTTTTTTAGAGTTGCGGCCTGACAAGTCACAGATTCACATACTGTAAGGCCTCAAAACGAAGAAAACCTTTTGCAATTATCTGCCTGTCAAACTAATTCCTCTGCCCAACACCCGGCTCTTGAATCCGGGAACACTCTTCAAAAGAAACGGTACAGGTATCATTGACCGTTACCGTTACAGTCAAAAACGCCAACCGTTCCTGCAAAGAAAGCAAGGAATTGTCCAGTGTAGGGGAGGAAATCCGCCACGGAGAATAAAAATACCACCAGAATCCTGTCAAACAAGCTTACCCGGCCACCGACGATCTCGAGTGGCCATGGAATTATTTTTCCCTGGCCACTACAACTTCCCTACAGGCCACCGTCGCCTCTTAGTTCCTATCGCGTATAAGAAAAAGACTGGACGGCAGTTCAATCGCGTCGAGATCAGATCTTGCTGCTAGGTGTCCGGTCCACTCCACCCACACACCACCCTACTCACCGCACTCACCGCACTGCCCTGCCCGCATCTCGGGTCAGCCCCTCGACGTCAGCCTGCATTCCCCTTCCCGGGGACCGGTCTCGTCTTTTTGTTCTTGACAGCAGGGATGCTCTTCTCGAAGGCTTCTGCTCAAGTGCCTACGGATACACTAATTGATAGGCGGTGCTAACTTTAGCATCTGTGACCCTCCCTGCTAGGCTAGGAGGCATGATGACAAAAGCCAGAAGAAGGCGGGTTCACGTGGAGGAGTTTAATTGTCATAGGTGGACCAACTCGTCAGTCCAAATCGTGATTCTCTAAAGCCGTTTCGTTCCGCGTTCTGCTTTTTGGAAATGCCCATCTGATGTTACATGTACAATGCTATGAAAAGCCCACTCAATTCCCATCCTTCCGCCCCTTACTGTCTAAGAGAGGTATCGTTTGCATCTACGCCTTGGTCGAAATCTTGGGGTTCAATCCTCCAACGAGCCATGCAGCGGCGAACAGGGAAATAAAGCTGACGAAGATAACAAGGGGCTTCCGCAGGGCGGAAGACACCGAGTACTCGTAGGAGACAATCACCTCCCGGTCCCGGAACTCGTCAACAAGGTTGTTAGCCTTGATGGTGACTGAGGTGCGTCCAACGGTGTCGAGGTACGTCTTGTGGACGCTGATGGCAGAGTCCACAATGGAGGACTCAGGGATGCTAGTGTAGAACTTCACGTTCCTGTAACGGCTCTGTTAGAACTCAGACGGCAAAACGGGCTTCTCACAATTTCACTTACGTAGCTCCCTCTGGCAGGAGAATCTGCAGGTTGACCTTTGCGTACTCGATTCCCTCGGGCTGCTTAGGACCCTCGAGGAAGGGGACGTTGACAACGTACTTGCCAGCCTCGACGGTGCGGACAAAGTTCTTGGCATCCGAGTTCCAGCCGATGGTGAAGGGGTACTTCCAGCCGCCAAAGATGGGGTAGCGAGGCTTGATCTCCAGGAGCGCCTCGCGCTTGTTGCTGCGGAATCTCGAGGTAGAGACGTTGCCGATAGCATCGACAAAGTACGGGTCCGCACTTCCCACCTTGAGAGGGAACTTCATCTCCTTGAGAGCGTAGGTGTTGGGGTTGTAGTACGCCGCCTGCGCCCACTTGACGCGGTTGAAGAGCTTCGACAGATTGGCGCCGCGGTGGTAGAGCTCGTATCTCTCCTCGAAGGCCACATTTCCTCCCCAGTGGCTGACCTCGACATCGCGATCGAGCTGGGCGACGTGGGTGACGGGCTTGGTGAACTCGAAGCGTACCTGGGCGGGGGAGACGGCACCGGCGGGCTTCTCGTCAAAGGGACCATAGGTGAGCTTAGCACCTTGCTTCTGAGGGAACTCCTTGATATCGCCGCTGCCAGGCAGCTTGGTGTAGTCGGGGATGTTGGACGAGTGGGACTTGAGCTCGGTCTTCTGCTTCGAGGTGACGTAGGCCGAGGGCGCGTACACGGAGAAGTCGTAGGTGAGGAATTGTTGCTCCTCCTGGGCGATCGAGGCCGGCAGGGGCTTGTAGGCCTGGAGAACGTAGTAGGAGATGCTCAGCGTCTGCTGGCCGCCGGCCTTCAAGGGCGTGGGGAGTTGGATCTTGTAGTACTGAGTCTCGCTGTTGCATCTGTTAGTTCTCCCATGTGCACTGTAGGGTGTGCGATGTGCCCAAGAGCCAAAACGTACCTCAGGGGATCGTACTCGACCGCATCAACGGTGAATGGGCCAGCTTCGGGGTTCTTCCTATCCTTGGCCTCAAAGCCTCCAATGCGCGACATCTGCTCGGGGGTGAAGGGCAGGTAGTATGCATCTTGGGGCTGCTTATCAATATTCTCAATCAGAACATTGATTGACTCCTTGACGTAGTTCTTCTCGAGGGAGACAATGTGGACAAGATTGGCGTTCTTGAAAACCTGGGGCGGCTTGAAGTTGGCGGGCAGGTTGACCTTTGACACCTTGTCAGCTGCAGTCGTCGAGTCGGAGCTTGCGACAATCGGGGAGAGCAGGCTCAGAAGGCCGGCGGCAATGGCGAAGGCTCTCATGATGTGGGTTGGTGGAGGGAATTGCTCATCGACAGAGCTCTCCCGGCAATTGAGAATCAAGAATGGAGAAAAGCGGTTGTTGAGACGCAATTGGGGGCTTTCACTCCATTGCCCGAATTGATGATCTGGCTCCTGAGACAGCTACCCCCAGCCAAAAAGCTTACGGATACGTTGCTTGACGACGCGCACGGGCCACGGATAGCTCCACTTCACTGGAGAGTAGACGGATCGGGACTCGGTTAGTCCGAGACGGGCACGCGGCACTGGCGCGGCCTCGGTGGAGGTCAAGCCACACTTTACCAATGGCAGATGCCACTGCGGGACAGCTTCAGCCACGCGCTTCGTCCACGTTTTATCTCCTCGCTTAGGTACTTGGATACTTCGTCACACGGGGCTCCATATCTGTAAATTCACCAATGGTAACTGGGTCCTGGCATTTGGTGGGGTGGACAGCTACCGACTCTCTTTTCGTGAGCTGCCATTTGTCCCTCAACAAGACGTCACGCACCGCAACCTCCGGGCTTTGGGAACGCTTGAGAACGGCGCTTCCGGTGCTTCCAGCCCGTTTCTCCCGGGATGCTGACCATCCTGGCTTGAATACAGGTGCTCGTAAGATGTGGGATATGGGAACACGCTCTTCCAGCATCTCTTTCACGTGAGATATCCCATCGGAGATAGGTTGGTAGACAGCTATGGTCAGTTCAGGTCAACCCTAGGGGTCCACCGCTAGCTGCCATCTACCTTGACCATCCCAGCTATGGCAAGACCGCTGCAAATCTCGTGGTAATCTTTGGACGAGCGAGACGCGGGCTGGCGGCTCTGGTCCGCGACCAGTGGGACAACAGAGAAAAAGGTACCAAGAAAACTAGTGTGCAGTTTTTGGAGTTTGAGCTGCCCTGGTACCTAAGGCTCGTACGGTTATACCAGTAAGGAGATAGGTAGACAGACATTGGATGACCCATCGGAGATGTGCCTCAGCGGCTTCGGGGGACTCGACTCGTCGAAAGGAAGGGGGCCACAAAGTAAGGTAAGGTAGCCGTAGTGCAGCAGCGTGCAGTGGTGCTGAGTGAGTGATCTCCAGTCCTGACAAGGTCCAGTCCGCCCGAGTTTGACCTCCCACCTCACCTCCTTCCCTCTCGGTCAGATGATCCACGCCCATTCACCTTTTCCCTCAACGTCACTTCCCTCACCCGACGCACCTCACCTCTGGCGAATTGACCGCCTACCACCACCCACCTAGCAACGAACACAACACCAAGCAGATTTATCGTGTGTTTTTGCCCTACTTCCCTACGCAGCTTCCAACAGCTTTTATTTTGCTGCACCCATCATCACCTATAGCTCAATCGCTACCCCTCATCAACTTTTACCCCGCCATCCGTCAGAGCTTCGGTCAAAATGGTTGGTCTCGGTCCCAAGGTTCCGCCCAGTAGGAAGGGTAAGTTTTGCAGCTACGATTTCCCCCTTCCCTTTACTCCTTCTCCCTACCTTTGAACTCCTGGAAATACCCAAGGGCGACACGATGGCCTTATATGCAAAAATGACATGGTGTACCGCCTCACGTTGAGACTGAGACAGCTCTCGAGATGAGGTGGTCTTCAAGCTACTACTCCCTGTACGCCATTCCGCTGGTGTCGTCCCACCCTCCAAGTCATCCTCAACGCCTCACCCTCAAAACTTTCGTCCCGCTCGCACCATCACAATCACCACCGTCCAATCCTGCCTCCCACCCACGGCTGGAACGGCCAATTGCCATTCGGAGATGACGCGCCACAAGGCTGGACCGCTATGCAGCACTTCCCGGTGGCCGGAGCTTCCCCAAGCCAGAGGGGTACCTTGCTTGTCAAGCAAAAGCAACTCTCTTGGGAAAAGCTCAAGCCATCCAGCGTTGAGGTGGAAGACCTTGTCTCACTTTGCCAGACATTCCCCCACCTTGATCCCCCAGCTTTCTTTCTCCGATGACTGCAGCTATCTAGTTATAAACAAGCTGGCAAGCGCTGCTTGTCTCCCCTCCAGGCCTTTGTGTTGACCGCTACATCGATTGCTTGTTGTTATTTGCCCTTTGTCTCGCGAGCTTCGATTCTGGATCTTGTTTTCCTGAACACAATCATTTTGTGATATCCATCCACCAAACGTTGCCACGCTCAAGTGTGGCAAGACACCAAAATCTCACAGCCAGCTTCACACAACCGTCACAATGGTGGACAGAGCGATTGCCCCCGCTACAAGGGAGAGATCCTACCACCACACCGATATCTTTGTGCCATCACGTCAAAGCAAGAACATACATCTACAGATTCAATACGATTCATGTTCGCTAACCATGTGTGAAAATCTAGGTTCCATGGCCGATGTGCCTAAGGATCTTCTGGCTGAGGTCAAGAAGCTCGAGGAGCAGTTCACCGTTCCGACTGAGAAGCTCAAGCAGATCAGCGCGCACTTCATCACAGAGCTGGACAAGGGTAAGTTGACACCTGTGGAAAATTGGAGTTTTTCATGGAACTGACTTGAAGCATAGGTCTGAGCGTCGAGGGCGGTAGTATCGTATGTTGAGACCTGAATAACTATTGGCTTCTGGAGCACCTTTCTAACTATTTTAACAGCCCATGAACCCGACCTGGGTTATGTCCTTCCCCGATGGCTACGAGACCGGCACTTACCTTGCCCTCGACATGGGCGGAACTAACCTCCGTGTCTGTGAGATCACCTTGACGGACCAGAAGTCCGAGTTCGACATCATTCAGTCAAAGTATCGCATGCCCGAGGAGCTCAAGACCGGCCAGTCAGAGGAGCTGTGGGAGTACATTGCCGACTGCCTGGCTCAGTTCATCCAGACTCACCACCCCGACCACCCTCAATCTCAGAAGATTCCTCTTGGTTTCACCTTCTCCTACCCTGCCACTCAGAACTACATCGATGAGGGCATCCTCCAGCGCTGGACCAAGGGTTTCGATATTGCCGGAGTTGAGGGTCACAACGTTGTCCCTTTCCTTGAGGCTGCCCTGGCGGCCAAGGTATAATAAGTCCCTTGAGCACAGATGAAGCACTAGTAACTAACTCCCGCTTAGAACGTCCCTATCAAGCTGTCTGCTCTGATCAACGATACCACTGGCACCCTGATTGCCTCTGCCTACACCGACACTAAGATGAAGATTGGCTGTATCTTTGGTACTGGCTGCAACGCTGCTTACATGGAGGACTGCGGCTCCATCCCCAAACTTGCTCACATGAACTTGCCTCCCAACACCCCCATGGCCATCAACTGCGAGTGGGGTGCTTTCGACAACGAGCACAAGGTCTTGCCTCGTACCCCCTACGACATCATCATCGACAAGGACTCTCCTCGTCCTGGCCAGCAGGCCTTTGAGAAGATGATTGCCGGTCTCTACTTGGGCGAGATCTTCCGCCTGGTCCTTGTTGACCTCCACGACAACAAGTCTGTGCACATCTTCGAGAACCAGGACATTGCCAAGCTCCGTAAGGCTTACACCTTGGATTCCTCGTTCCTGTCCGCCATTGAGGAGTAAGTTTTCTTGATCTTGAAGCTGTCTTAATCAGTATGCTAATCCGATAAAGCGACCCCTTCGAGAACCTTCAGGAGACTAGCGACCTCTTCCTCTCTAAGCTGAACCTCAAGGCCACCAGACCCGAGTTGGAGCTGGTCCGCCGCCTTGCTGAGCTCATTGGCACCCGCGCCGCCCGCCTCTCGGCTTGCGGTGTTGCTGCCATCTGCATGAAGAAGGGCTACGACAACTGCCACGTCGGCGCTGACGGTTCGGTCTTTAACAAGTACCCCCACTTCAAGGCTCGTGGCGCCCAGGCTCTGCGCGAGATTCTCGACTGGCCTGCTAAGACCAACCCTAAGGAGGAGGATCCTGTTGAGATTCTCGCAGCAGAGGACGGCAGTGGTGTTGGCGCCGCCCTGATTGCGGCCTTGACCCTTAAGAGAGTCCAGAACGGCAACATGGCCGGCATTCTCCACCCCGAGAACTTCACATAATCATCCCAAGACGCGAGGATGGGTTGAAAAGGCAATGAGATTAAACAAAAAGCGAGGTCTTGCTAGATGGGGGGGTTCTTTTTGATAGGAAGTCTTATCTGCATTGGTTCTACGGTCATGTCCACCAGACCTACTAGATAGCTCATACAAGCAGTATTCCTACCCCCCAGGCTTTTACTTATTTTCAACCCATGAACGTGCACGTGGGCAAGCGGTACTCTGTCACCGGTTAGTATTGTCGAGGCATCAGGACACCCAGAAGAAGAAAAACTCACTATCCAAAGTCCAGTACCGGCGCACGACACCCTCCCACTCGCCGGCGCCGGCCTTTTCCAAGCCCTTCATGTCGACGTCCATCTCGTCCCACTCAACGTCCAGGCCGGCGTCGGCCATGTGCATCTCGACCACCTTGGTGTAGACGTCGTAGCATATCCGCCGGTCGGCGCCCAGGCCGTTGAAGAAGCTGAAGCGCCCCTCGAAATCGAGCAGGCCGGGGATGTACTCCGTGAAGAATGTCTTCAGCTGGCCGTAGTCTTCGCCGAACGTGTCAAAGTAGATTGCGTCGTAGACTTCGCCGGCCTCGAGGAGTTGGGGGACGACGTCTTGCCACCTGCCGCGGTGGATTTTGTAGGCTCCTGGTCGGGGGGACGAGGATTCCCATGCGGCGCCGAAGGTGGAGGGGATCGAGTCTGAGTCAGTGGTGGTGGTGCCGTCGATTTCGGCGAGGACTTCGGGGTGGGCTTCGATGATGTGGTGGCGGGCGGGGGATGTGGCGCGGAACATGGAGTCGATTATGCCCATGCCGAAGCCGATGTTGAGGATGCGTTTGCCTGATATCGTGGAGGTAGCAGCATCGGCGGAGGAGTCCTCGGCTGTGGATGGTGGCGGGATGAGGGCGTCGACGCTCTTGCGCATGATTTCCGTCTCCCACGCCATCATGACGCCGTTGCCTGCCTCGTCGACGAGTTTGCCGGAGGAGTAGGTCAGGTTGGAGGCGAGGTACTCTTCCGAGTTGAGGGAAGGGTCCTGGACGGCGGGTGGTTGGAACGTTTTGGGTTCTTGCTGCTGTTCCTCTGAGACGGGTGCTGGTGCCTCGACGAGTTGTGGTGCTTCTTCCGTATCGTGTACGTCCTCAATGACAACGTCGTTGGCGTCTGCGGTCCCTTCGACGGCTGCCTCGACCTCGTCCTCGTCCATCTCCGAGCCCCCCGAAGAAAGCGCCTCGTACCCGTCCAACAAGCCAAACAGCATCTCGGCGCGCACGCCGGCCTCGACGCAGAGGTTGTAGAGCGCCTTTTGGCCGAGGCGGAGGGCGAGGCAGCCCGGCGTCTCGTTGTTGTTGTCGACGTCGTTCCAGATTGCGCCGGAGAGGAAGAGCTCGTGGACCGTTTCCTTTGCTTCTTCTACCTGTAGGTCTTCGCTGTCGTCGTCTCCGTCTCCATTCTGGACTTCATTATCGGTGGAAGGGGGAGCAGGTCCGCAGGCGCGGATGGCGGCGTGGAGGGGCGTCTCGCCGGTCGTGGGGTCTTGGCAGCTCGCTTGGCCCGGTTCCTGGAGGAGTTTCTTGAGGGCGGAGGAGTCGTGGCTCCAGGCGTGGAGGAGGATTTCGCGGGTTGCGTCGGGGCAGTCTGTTGTGATGCGGGCTTGCATCGAGTCGTCGATCGGTGTCGCCATGGTTGTGTGTGTATGGTGGTTTGGGGGGGTAAGTCGAGGGAGTTTGAACTCTGGGTGTGGGGGAGCCTCGATCGTCTGGGAGGGAGAGGATTTCGACCGAGAAGAAGGAATTCGGATCTAGACACGGCTTTTGCTCCGATCGGTGTGCCGGAGGTGGTAGGGGGGTGTAGGTCCGTGGTGCGGTAGGATTCTTCGATATCGGCCGGGTGTCTAATCCGTAGAACTTTTTTTTTCGCCGTGTCCGCGCCGGTGTGTATCCCCCGCCGACCCCGCCATCCGCCGAAAGAGAAAAAAAAAATCCTCCAGGTAGAGCCCTCCTGCGGGCTGCAGCAACAGCTGGCGTGTGACGTCTGCCGCACGTGCGCATTTGTTGCTCGCAATTGGCCAATTGACACCCCGTGCCCCCCCCCCCCCTGCGGCTAGCTCTGGGTACCAGCGGAAACTGGAGCCAGACACCCACTGGGACCACCAGACTACCTGGAGCTAAGCCGGGTTGGAGCCGCGCTTTACTGGGTCAGGACCGCTAAAGGACTTGAAAGTTGCGAGGGAGATACGATGGGAGGAGAAGGACGAATGCGCCAGCTCCCACGTTCTTCGTTTCTCGTGCTTTACATGTCTCGTAAGATAGTGACGTTGGAATCCTAATATTGAGCTTTGGGAATACCAAAGAAATCACGAAATGAAGGGAGTCGAGTAAGGAGACGTAAGGTAGTATAAGAAGCTGAAGGACAGTAAGGTACCCTAGAGCAGTGGAGGATTGGCCGTGCGGTGTCACTCAGTTAACGTGGTTGGCAACTGCAGCACATTGCAGGCAGTACCAAGGTATCCGTAGCGGCCCCCCCCCCCCCCGTCTGAGGGCCCCCTGTCCGAAGCTTGTCTCGTAACCACTGGCCGCCGCCTCGCATTCCATCGCCTTTTGTTTTGCCTGCAACACCCGACCGCGCGACAGGCGAAAGCTTCCCAAACCCTCTCATACTTTTCTCCAATATCTGGAACATTGAGCCCAAGTCGGTTACACGGCGCAAAAGCTGCATAAGGTGAGACCTCTATCCGAATAAATCTCCTCAATTCGACTCCACATCGTCAACAAGCAAGCCCCCTCAAGAATTCCATTACCCAAAAGGCAGACTAACTCTGGGCGTTTCTTCGACTAAGCCTCCTTTGCTTTTCTGCCCTGCTATGCCCATACCGATGATGCCATTTCCCTCGAGACCCGGCTCCTCATGCTAATTGTCTACGATACAAAGACACAGGAACGAACTTGGCGACCGAGTCTAGCACCCAGCGAATCCCCCTGGCGCGCCCCTCCCGGCATCGTCGTCATGAAGTTCGGCGAGCAGCTCCGCTCGAGCATCATCCGCGAGTACCAATGGTACTACATCGACTACGACGCCCTCAAGGCCGACCTCAAGACCGCCACCGGGCCCGTCACACCCGCCGACAATAGCAATGGCAAGGGCAAGGGCGGCAAGCGCGAGTGGTCCGAGGAGGACGAGGGCCGCTTCGTCAAGAAGCTCGAGGCCGAGCTCGACAAGGTCCACACGAAGCAGCAGGTCAAGGCCATGGAGATCTCGAGGCGCATTGCCGTGAGCGAGCGCGAGGTCAAGGGCGTCGTCAATCGTCTCGTCGAGCGCGGCCCCCGCGAGGAGGGCCCTAGTGAGGAGGAGTTCATGCTGCTCGAGGAGGACTTGAGCGACATCATTGCCGATGTCCACGATCTTGCCAAGTTTGTCCAGCTCAACTATACTGGTTTTTACAAGATTATCAAGAAGCACGACGTGAGGCAATTCCTTCCGACATTGAACGTCCGGGTGGATCACTGACGAGGAATAGAAAACGACTGGCTGGCACCTCAAGCCCGTCTTCGACACCCGACTCAAGGCGAAGCCGTTTTACAAGGAAAACTATGACGCTTCTGTGGTCCAGCTCTCCAAGTTGTACGATCTGGTCAGGACGAGAGGAAACCCAGTCAAGGGTGACAGCGCAGCCGGCGGCTCCCAGGGCAGCTTCGTTCGCAATACGACAAAGTACTGGGTCCACCCAGACAACGTGACGGAGCTGAAGCTCATCATCTTGAAGCACTTGCCCGTACTAGTCTTCAACGCAAGCAAGGAGTTTGAGATCCAGGACTCGGCCATCACATCCATCTACTACGACAACCCGGAGACTTGGGATCTGTACGAGGGTCGTCTGAAGAAGACGGAGGGCGCCGAGGCCATCCGCCTGAGATGGTACGGTGGCATGCAGAGCGAAAACATCTTTGTCGAGCGCAAGACCCATCGCGAGGACTGGACCGGTGAGAAATCCGTCAAGGCGCGATTCTCGGTCAAGGAGAAGAATGTCAACGCTTACATGCGCGGCGAGCTGCTCCCCGCCGCTCTCTTCGAAAAGGCGCGTAAGGAGGGCAAGAAGCCCGAGAAGGCGATCGCCGAGGACGAGAGACTCGCAAAGGAGGTCCAGTACTCGACTCTCAAGAAGGGGTACAAGCCCGTGTGCAGATCCTTTTACAATCGTACCGCCTTCCAGCTCCCCGCTGATGCTCGAGTCCGTATCTCGCTCGACACGGAATTGACCATGGTTCGCGAGGACAACCTGGACGGCCGTAAGAGGTCCGGCGACAACTGGAGACGCATGGACATTGGCATCGACTATCCCTTTTCGCAACTGCCCCCCGAAGACATTGTGCGCTTCCCGTACGCCGTTCTCGAGGTTAAGCTTCAGACGCAGCTCGGCCAAGAACCTCCGGAATGGGTTCGCCAGCTCATCTCCAGTCATCTCGTGGAGGCCGTGCCCAAGTTCTCAAAGTTCATTCACGGAGTCGCTTGCCTCTTCCCCGACCGCATCAACCTGCTTCCCTTCTGGATGCCGCAGATGGACGTGGATATCCGGAAGCCCGTTACGCACGACTTTGGAATCCACAGACCCAACCAGTCGGCGACTACCACTACATCAGATGACGACGAGGATGACGAGCTAGACTCTGATGACGAGGAGGGTCCCTTGGTAGCCAGCAATAACGGTGCCACCAACGGAGAGTCGAGTGGTCAGGGAGCTGCCAGGAACGGCGGGACCGCGCTCGACGTCGAAGGCCAGACGGTCGACACCATTGCCCCCGTCGACAACGAGGACTTTTTGTACGACTCGGACGAGGAGTACGACGCCGACGAGGCCCTCGAGGAAGCCAGACGGGTCGGAGGCTGGACCTACTACAAGGCGCTTGCCTCTACAAAGGCACAAGCGGCTGGCGAGCGCGCCATCGATGTGCTCAAGTGGGCCGTGCCGCATCCCCGTGGTTCTGTGATCCCCAGGCGCGAAGTGCAAACAACGCTCTTCGGCTCGGGGCCGATTCAGACCAAGAGGTTCAAGGCCCCCAAGGGCAAGAAGATTTACGTGCCAGTCCGCGTGGAACCCAAGGTGTACTTTGCCGCCGAAAGAACCTTCCTCGGATGGGTGAGTCTCACATATTCTCTCAACAAGAAATCTCCGAACAGCTGCTAACATAACCAAAAAAAAATAGCTCGAATACTCCATCTACGTCGGCACCGTCGCCGTCACGCTACTCAACTTTGGTACCAAGCCCACGCCCACGTCCTTCATCGTGGCCGGCGTCTTCACCCTCCTCGCCATCATGTCGCTCTGCTACTCGGTCGTGATCTACCTGTACCGCAGCAACGCCATCCGCAACCGCAAGGCGGCCAAGTTCTACGACAAGTGGGGGCCTAGCGCGCTCTGCGCTTCCTTGTTCATTGCCGTCTTGCTTAACTTTGCGTTTGAGGGCAATGCGAGGGAGTATTGGTGAGACGAAGGCTTGTCTAGGTGGTCTAGGTGTGTCAGTGTGTGGTGTCTAAAGTAGTTTTACCTTTTATCTTGGAAAAAGCGAATTGTGTTGTTTTCTTTTTGATGTATTGTGTATTGTAGCGGAATCGTATAAAATGGTCTATTAGAAATTGGTGGGTTCGGTGTGTCTTGTGCTCCTCTTTCCTTATTGCATTATTTTGGTACATAGCATGGTTTATTCCCTCTTGCTTGCTATATCTACCATATATATATACATAACTTTTCCTACCTGGATCTTTCGGATATTCGTCGAGCACAAGTTCCCTGCTTGCATACCATTTTAGACCAATGCCACGCGAAGCCCAATTATCTGATATACCATTTTCAGTCGGTGATGGGAAGAAACAAGACTGCTGTCCCAGGCTACTCAGGCAATACCGTGAGCTCCAGAATACGCCATCGCGAAACACAATTCTTTCTCTTGGCCAGGTAGTCATGACTTTACTCTTCATCCTTCTATGGTCAAGTATGTGAGAACCTCCGTGGCCTTGTAAGTCCATGATGCTCTCCTCCGCTACAGCATCCATCACCATTAAACCATATGCTTCCTGAAGGGCAGTCTACTGCGTCAACCAGTCGGGTCTCAGAATTAAATCTGCACAAACGGCACTGTTGGTTGACTAGTTTCTATTGAATTCTTATTACCCACGCAATCAAGTGCTATCTTGTTTCTCGGGAAAGAAACAAATATTGGCAGGTTGATAGGTCATGTGGCTGACGCTGACCACATAACGGTTCCGAACATCACACCACCGATTTCACTGCAACTTTAACACCAATAGAGACTGGACATGGCCGTGATACCATTCAATGATGCGATGAGAAGAATTCCGCCTTTCATAGTTGGTAACAAACATTTACGTTTAATCGATTCACTTCCCGCGACGCTTTCGTTTCTGAACTATACGGTATCAAACCATGAAATTAGTTTGTTACCGGGTGTACATGAGACTTGATGACCTATGGACAACAATGCCACGGACTTTTTGAAACGGTGTTGAGTAGAAGTAAAGCAAATACCTTGATAGGTGCTAACAAGTTCATTTGCATTGGCTTTGATGAAATGAAGCCCGGTGATGTGCCTCTGTAGGGAGGCGACAAGCTGGCCACTCACCGACTGCAGTGGCGGGAAGTATGGGTGAGGCAACCCGTTGCATATTGATTAGCAAATGAATTTCACTGCGATCTTAACCACCCCTAAAGGGCCGACTGTGAGAAGCAGGCTAACATGCTGGCCACTCACTACCTTACCTGGAGGTACCTAAACCAGCCATTGGCATGCATTTTGTGCAGACACCACCTGTTTCTCTGCGATTTTAGCACCCCCCAAGAGGGGTGAGTAGGGTAAGCAAGCTAGCTGCTCACCAATGTTTGCGGTGAGGACTACGACGACTGGAACTGATTCACAGCCGCTTAAATCCTCCTCGAGGGGTTTACGACAAAAGAGAAGAAGCAGCGACATCTACATCAGCATATACCCGTTTTTACAGAGCCTGTCCGCTTGTACATTACTAAGCTAGGGGGCGTCTATTCGTAACATGATGAGAGTAACTTTACAGTGGGGTTGAAAAGCCGTTGTACGCATACGATAGAGGACGGACGGGGAAGCTCTAATATAGCTGAGCCTTTGCGTTTGTTCAAGTGAGATAAATGGTGGTGTGAAGCGCAAAGAACCCGCCCCGCGAAATTGAACGTTGGTTGCTGTTTGTTTTACTGCGATGTTGGCTCAATGAGAAGTCTCGGTGACCTTGAATTGTCGACTCAGTAGTCGTGAGAACAGTACACATTCACATTCACTTCCAAAGGGGGACGATACCACAATAATGGTGTAAACGGTTGTTGAAGCTATCTAATTACCCTAGTACCAAAAACACTTATACAAGCCAAACCCAAGAATTCAAAATATCCCAAACTCCAAAATCATTAACCGTGAAGCTTCCATTACATCCAACCGTTTCCACCAAAAAGAAAATTCCTTCTCAAGTGCGAAGCAGCAATCATCTGACTCTTCTACTCGATATCAACCTTGTGAATCTCAGTCCACTCCTTCTCGACCTTGGGCACAGTCACCACCAAGATTCCATCCTCCATCTTGGCCGTGATAGCCAGCGCGTCAATCTCCTCCCCTCTCTCCGAGGCAGCAGACGCATTCTGACGCGTACGAGGCGGCAAGGGCACAGACCGGCTAAACATTCCGATCCTCCGCTCGCCCGACGCCAAAGTCGCCAAGAACTCCTCGTCGCCGGGCCGGTACACCACGCCCGCGACGCGGAGCTCGCCCTTGTCGGCGTCCCAGTTCACGCCGACGTCCTCCTTCTTGGCGCCGGGGAGGGCAAAGTGCAGCACGTAGGCGCGGTCCGTGGAGAAGATGTCGACGGGGGGCGTGAATGCCGAGTCCATGTCGGTGTTGTCGTTGTCGGCGGACGCACCACCGTCGCGGGTGCCGGCGGCGTTGTTGTTGAGGCCGCCGAAGCGGGTGGCCCAGTCGCGGACTTGTTGGGCAAAGGGGTGGTCGGCGAACTGGTTCAGCAACTCTTGCCAGTTTGCAAAGTCAAAGGTGCCAGCCGGGTTGTGGCCGTAGGGCGGGGGAGGGGGTGGAGGCGGGTGCGGTGCGCCGAATGGGGGCGGGGGACCGGGGGGTGGAGGTGGGCCCCGGTGGCCGTGGTGGCCGCCGTGTCTGCTGTGGCGCGCGCCCCAGGGATCGGGTCCGCCGCCGGGGGGTCCACCGCCGAAGCGACCTCCGCGACCTCCGCGGCCTGGACCGCCGCGGCGGCCGGGGCCATGGTGGTGGTGAGGGTGGGGATGAGGGTGTCCTGCGTGCTCGGGGCCGTCTTCGTTGGGGCCGTCGCGCATGGTATCGGGGGAGTCGTCCTTTTCCTTGTCGGAGAAGTCGCCCTCTTCGGGGGTATCGTCTGCGTTGCGCATGGTCTCGTCGACGACCTCGCCCTCGCCGTCGTTCATGTCGCCGCCCCGCCGTCCGTGGTGACCTCTGCCGCCGCATCGACCGCCACCGCGGCGACGACCGCCGAATCCGCCGCGGAAATCGCCCCAGCCGCCGTAGGGACCGCCCCAGCCGCCGGGGCCACCGGGGCCGCCGCTAAAGGGGTGTTCGGCACCGTGGAAGGGGAAGCCTGAGGGGAAGTTTGCCCAGGGACCGGGGCCGGTGGAGTGGTCTACGCCGGCGCCGGCGCGCATGTTGGGGTCGAGGGAGTGGATGAAGCTCCAGAGGCCTTGAGGGCCACCTGGTCGACCCCAAGGATTGTTATTACCGTTTGGACCTGCCCAAGACATGTTGGATTGTTGTGTGTGTATGTGTGATTGTTTGTGGGTGTGGGTTGATGAGGTTTGTGTGTAAGTGAGGAATAGGATGGTGAGGATGGTGGTGATTGTCGGAAAGCAATGAAGCTGAGGAGGGAAAGGAAAGAGAGAGCATGATGTCGATGAAGGAGTTCATTTATATATCATGAGACGACGACGACAGGGCCATATCATTTACAAGGCAGGAGCCTGCGTAGGCCTTTTCGTCTGATACACTACTAGCAAAACGTGGAAGGCAAAAACACTTGCGAAAGCACTAGGTTGAACCAGTCAGAGCCACACTCAACACACCTCTAGCCTCGAGCGGTCGAACAGGTCAGAATGGTTTCGAAGGGAAGGGACATGGGCACATGGGGGGAGGTACAACATCGCCACGCGTCGTCGTGGTAGGGGGATCGGCCCAAACAGCCCATTGGATCCCCGTCGGTGGGCGGTAGACTTGTACACCGAGCTCCGAACCATTAATTTGTTGATGGCGTAGGGCAAATGTCCGCAGCGGAGTGTAGATTCAGGCGTGGTCGGAGACCGAACAAGAAGGTACCTAGTATCTTACGCCTTCATGACTCTAGACTGCTAGAGAAAAAGCCGCGTATTGATTGAATGCCTTGGAGAGGAACGCCGCCGTCGCCGTCGTTTCTTTGACACGTCCCATGTCAGTTGTGTTACGCAGCCCGCGCGGGACCGAGCAAAAAAGCTTCAGCTGAGCAGCCTAAAGCCCGGGCCCGGGAATGGGCTGTTGGCAGCGGGATATGGTGAAGTGCGGGGTGGAGTGTGGCGTAACTCGGTCCCGCTGTGTCAGTTTGCGATGAGCTCGGGAGTTGGCAAGTTGCGTGTGCCACACTTCAAGCACATGGGAATTGGGTGCAGCTTCAGATTGCGGATAGTGGGTGGTCACAGTCACTGAGATGGTGCTTGATTCTTCGCCACTGGCAGCAGAGAGGACGCGCACGCCAAACTGAGGCCTCAATTCGTGGCTGGTGTTGTTGGTCCATGCAATGCGTGGAGCTGTCGTAAGGCTTGTGAGTTGTGTGAGTCAACATTCCCCTGAATGTGACTCGCTTTCGGAACAAGTTGCCGGGATATCGTTGAGGAAGTTGTTATTGTCCGAGTCCCATTTGTTGAAGCCGAGAGTTTCGATAATGAAAATCATATGAAAGTGCGAATGCAACGAAAGAGGGCGACGACGACAACCCCGAGCTCGGCCAATGACGGACGACCTGTTCGGAGGCAAACCAACGCGGGACGCCGCCGCTGTGCCTGAAAAGTGGAGATACTCGGGCTTATGTAATTACCCGTCTGAGCTTGGGCCAAGACTTCTCGAGATGGTCCGTGCTTCTCAATAGGTACGTATCTCAATCAGTGAAGGTACCGGTTTCCCTCCAGTCCCGCCTGTCTGTCACTTGGATGATTTCTTTACCTTTACCAACATCCTCCTAACTTGGAGAGTTCAACACCAAATCTCCTAGGCGCCTCCATCAAGTGATGGCTCACGAGAGCTGCAGATGAGCGGGCACTACCAAGTTCAACCCCTATCTCGTCACTGCTTGTCTCGGCGCATTTCGACTCACCGGATCCCAGATGCCGCACTCGACAAATCACTCTTCATCACTCTCATCTCCCTCTATGCGCATTACGAGCTCAAGTGGCTCCGCTACCACGCTCTAGGCTCTCACGGCTCTCTGGGAATCTGGAAAGACTGGGAACTTCTTTCGAGCCAAGAGCTTCGCGGTCATGGGCAGGCGCTTGCAACTTCGAGATGAAGATTGCCCATTTGCTGCTGCACCATTCTCTAAGCGCCCACGATACACAGCCAATCATGAAGCTTCGCTACGCAGTAGAACAAGATGCCACCATGCAGGGCTCCATACATCGACGTTGTTCAGGCTCTTTGGCTCCTGGTCACTGGTCACTGGTCACCACTGGCTGGGACTTGCAAGTTCTACCACTTGTTTCTCTCGACACTCCTGGGCAGCTGGCTCTCTCATCGTCGAAGAGGCCACCAAGGCAGCGGCGAGGGCCCATCTCGCCCATTCCCTGCAAATGCCATGCCATGACAGCCCGGCCACGCCCTCCCGTGTGAGGTGGTGGTGTCTACAGTCTGTGTGCGGCGGTGCGGCCTGCCTGTGCCTTGAGGAACATCCAAGTTTCCCCTCTCTCTGTCTCTTCTCTGCCGCTGGCGAGCGCCTCGCCCCCCTGGTTCCCGGTCCCATCCCATCCCCATCCTGGCCCCATGTCCCTACCTTATGCTGCCGCTTTGCACTTTGCCCAATGCTTCCCGCTGCCAGACCCAAACCCTACCTGGCGCTTGCTTGCTTCCCTCCTGCTCCTGTCGTCCTATCTGGCACGTTCTTATTCTTCGTCCTGGACGCGCTCTCCCCTCTGGTTGATAGTTCTCGGCTTCTGACCTTTTTTTCTCTTGAAATACACACGTTTGGAAAATACACTGGTTTTGTTTCCGTGCCGCAGCCGTTTCATCCATCTAACGGGCCTAACAACCGGCCGGCCATATCTGCGACCTCTCCCGTGAGACTCGAACCAGGACCCCACCACCCCTCATCAGCAGCTGCGATCCTCTCAAGCATCCAACGATAGGCACGAAACCTCGACCTTCGACAGCTCCTATAAATAACTTTTTGCTCCCCCTGACCTGCAGACTTGAGCTCTCGCAGTGCGTCACTCGCATCCCGCATCGAGCATCCGCGTACCTGCGCAAGTCGGCCGGCCCCCAGATATCCGTACATATCTATCTTTGGCCAGATTCGAAGATACCACATCGCCGCCCATCATGGAGCGCAGTCGCGGCCTTCCCGATGCCGAACTGTTCCTTCACAAGCCCGCCGAAGAAGACTGCGATAGCCCGACCGTTGAGCCCCTGAGAATATTCAAACCGCAGAGTCCCAACCCCGCCAACGACCGCTTCAAGTACCCCGCGCCTCCGTCCGCCTCGGGCTCCTCTTCCTCCTTCACATCGAAGCCGACCTTCCCTCTACCACCAGGCGCCTCAAGCTCAGCGGCCCCTCTGCCGTATCCCGACGAGGAGGATCTTCGACCTGGAAAACCTACCAAACCCACCATCACCGCCCCGAAGCGATTTGGCTCCGACTACAATGATACTACCCCGCGCTTCAATGCGACCAGCCCCGTAGAGACCAAGAGTCCTACCCTCGCCGAGCGACGCGGCACCGGTCCGAGGCCTTTGGGCGCCACATCTCCGCAGAGCCCGGCTGGCGACGACGGCGGCCTCTTCGCGAAGCCCCTGACGGCGCCGCAACCTCAGCGACCGGCTGCTTCGACTACAAACTACCCGTCTTACACCAAGAAGCCTTACTACCCGCCACCGGGTGGCGCATCCAGTTCTACGCCGCCCGCCCAGAGCCAGAGCCAGTACCAGGCCCGGCCACCACCTCAGAGTGCCCAGAGCGCTGATCATCTCGAGATGCCCGGCCAGAATAGCGTGAACAGGTTCGCCTCGACAGCTTCAACCTCCACAACCCGCGCCAGCCGAGGATCCCCACCCCCGCCAGAGACCCCAATCGTTGAACCAGGGGTCATCCCGGGCGGCGGCATCGAGGCGCGATATGCCGCCTCTGGCATCTCGGGCACGGCGACACTGACCAGCCTGCAGGCGCAACAGGCCCAGAGCGCTGCGGCTTCCCAGAGATTGGCTCAGTATGGAGGAGCACCACCACCTGCGCGGCCGTGGACTCCCACGGAGAACCCGGAGAATCAACCTCATGGCCCGCCCACGGTCTATCAGGGCATGAACCCAGTTACGAGTCCTACGCAACCTACATTCAGTCCTCCTCCCCAGCAGGCAGAGAACCAAGGGGAACAGACGAACTTGCAAGTCAGCGTTCTGGAACAGGATTATCAGCGACTGGGCTTGAACGATCCCCCGCCAGCCTACTCGAGTGTAACGCCTTCAGGCAACCCATCTTACCCAGCCGAGAAGCAACGGCCCACTCAGCAAAGGGCAGACTCAACGCCGTCCGTGTCCACGGCCTCTGCTGCTCAGTCGCCCCCGAAGAAGCCCGCGACTGTCGGCCCTGCAGCAGCAGGGCTCGCGTCACCTTCGTTGCAAGGCCACCCCGCCTTCGCCAACGACCCGAGGCCAGAGCAAAACGGACAGCCCTCGTCATCTCAAGCACAGAATGCACCTGTTACCCAGACTATACAAGCGCCCCCTTCCTTCCAAGGCGCTGGCCCTTCTTCGCCGCCACCACTGCCCGAAGGCTGGATCGCCCACCTCGACCAGAACTCGGGACAATACTACTACATTCATCTGGCATCTCAGGCGACGCAATGGGAGTTCCCCAAGGGGCCCAATCCTATTACACACGAGGCGGCTCCCTTGTCTCCCACGGCGTCGACGTACGGTAACCCCCTCGCATCGCCCATGTTTGGCAAGCAGGCCATGGCCTCTCCAATGTTTCCCCCTCAGACACCGGGTTATGCTGAGAGCATTATGAGCGTCGCTGCGTCCCAAACGCCTACAACTGCTGGATTCTCTGGACCGCCTCCAAGCGCCGGTGTTGACATGTACAGGATCCAGCCCACGAACGGTGTGTACTTTGGACCATACCTCCGCTATTGCAACATGGACTTCGAAAAGGGGACATGGCTGGGTAGCATCATGATCGTGACGGACGCACCGCAGCCCCCGACCATTCACATTCACCCGAGCAACGACCTTTCACCTAATCCGCGACAGTTGGTGCCGCACAATATCTTCACTCATCAGCGCTGGACGTTTTACAAGTACGATATTGAGCTGCCCATGAGTGAGAGCGGGACTGAGAGATGGACGTACGCAGTCACTTCTCACCTGGGATGCACGAGATACGAGTTTGTCATTGCTGGCCGCCATGAGGTCGGCTGGAGGTTCATCGCTCACTCGAACAACGACTTTGCCGCCTCAACATCTCAGGCCGAGCGCTCCAAACTCGGTGGCGTGGGCTTCATGTGGAAGGACGTGCTCCAGAAGAACGTAGACTGCGGCGGCTTCCACGTTCAGCTCGGCATGGGCAACCAGATTTACGGTGACAGACTGTGGAAGGAGGTGCCCCTGCTGAAGCAGTGGTTGGCGATGAGCGGCAGAGACAACAGGAAGAACGCGCAATGGACCGCGCGCCACGAGGAGGACGTCTCGCACGCCTACTTCCATTACTATACCAGCCACTTTGATCAGCCTTACCTACGAGAGGCCTTTGCTCAGATTCCGCATGTTTTGCAGATTGACGACCATGACATGTAAGTGCAGTCTTGTACCTTGTGTTACGTGAAGTAACTGACCTGGCCCAGTTTCGACGGCTACGGCTCGTATCCCGAGTACATGCAAGGGTCCCAAATGTTCAAGAACGTGGGACGAATTGCCGTCGAGATGTATCTCCTCTTCCAGCACCACACTACGGTAGAGATCCTCCGCAACGTCAGTAATGACATGGACCTCTTCACAATTACCGGCCAAGGGTGGCACTTTGTCAAGTACCTCGGCCCGGCCGTCTGCGTCGTTGGACCCGACTGCCGCTCCGAGAGAAACCAAGCCCGCGTCATGGCCGGGCCGACCTACCAGGGCATATTCCCCAAGGTCGCGACGCTGCCTCCCAGCGTACAGCACTGCATCTGGATGGTCTCCGTGCCGCTGCTGTACCCACGCCTCGAGGCGGTCGAGAGCTTGGCAGGCGCCGTCGCGACGGGCAAAAAGGTTGTCAATACCTCGTACAACATCCTTGGCAAGGTTACGAGCTCCGTGGCCGGCGTCGTTGGCGGTAAAGACGTTGTCGCGCAGGGCTTCACGCAGGTGAAGAAGGCCGTCGGCAAGTCTGGTCTCATGGGCAACGTCCTGAACCAATTTGGCGAGATTGACATTGCCGAGATCCTCAAGGACATGTGGACGCACGATTCCAAGGACCTGGAGAGGACGTACTTTATCCGCACGCTCCAAGGCATCTCCCAGCAAAAGGGCATTCGCATGACTTTCTTGTCAGGAGGTGAGTTCTCAAACCCCACAAACTCGTCGCAATTTGTTTTGTTCCACCAACTAACGATATCACAGACGTCAACTGCGCAGGAGCAGGCCTGGTCCACGACCCAACCCACCCGAGCGACCACAAGACAATGTACCAAGTAATCACCTCCCCCATCGTAGCCCAACCCGCGAGCAACTACATCCTCAAGCTCCTCCACAACAACAAGAGCCTCTACGTGCCGCAAAACGGCCACAAATCCAACCACGAGGTGTCCGACTCCAAGGAGGACATGATGGAGATTTTCCACACCGACGCCTCGGGCTCCGCGCGCGAGCTCAAGAAGCTCATGGGACGTAGGAACTACGTCGCCGTCGTGGCGTACGACCCGGAGACCGTCGCCGGTGGTCCTGGTGGCGGTGTCGGCGGGTCGCAGTATGCGGGTAGCATCGTTAATGGAGGACAGCAGCAGCAGCAGCAACAGGGATTGCAAAAGTTGAGCTTGGCGGTGGACTTTGTGGTGCAGGGTGATGGTGCGTTTACGGCGCCGACAAAGTATGGACCGGTGATTGTGCCTCATTTGGAGTTTGGGAGGTAAAGAAGAGGTGGGTGTGCGTGGACGGTGACGGTGACGGTGACGGCGATGGTGTTGTCTTTTTTCTTGGATTTACTTTAATATCTCTCTGCCTTTCTCTCCAGCACCCCCCATCCCCAAGGTATACAGCGGTAGCTTGACGACCTGATGATATACTTCAAATCCACAACATTGATTCTTGAGGCTCGTACGTGATATGTGACTTTTGCCATCATGCACTATCTTGAGTGATCATTGTAAATCATTTCATTTTGCTGCTCTACTGAAAAATCAAGTCTCGATAGCAGGCCTGTTATGGCCGCTCTCGACATGTCGCAGGTCTGTTGTTCCCCAAGGCCACAGCCCACAACCACAAAGTCTAGAAAGCTGGCCCCATGACATCTCAACCCCATTTTTGTTGACTGGTCAAGCTAAGTCATCCTCCCCAGCCTGCAAGTCTTTTGTAAGATTCCCTCACAGCCTACTCCTCTCCGCCGCGGTTCACAAGTCAAACGTCTCCTTGAGGATGCGAATGGTATCCTCGGGGCCGGTGACAGAGTGACCGATGGTGCGCTCGTCGACGTAAATCTCGTAGTCGTTTCCGCCCTCGGCCGTCTTGTCGCCAAAGAAGTGGATCTGCTCGTACTTGACGCCGCCCTCCTTCTCTGCCTCCTTCTCGAGGTGCTGCAGGCAGTACGTCTTGTCCCAGCCGGTGGGGAAGACGTCGAACGAGATCTGGCCGCCGATGCTGAACGTCAGGCCGAGGTGGCCAAACTTCTCGCGGAGCTTGGCGACGAAGTCGCGGCGGACGTTGTGGACCTTGTCGTAGGCCTCGAAGGCCTGGCGCTCCTCGTTGGAGGCGTTGCGGCCGACGGGGGAGATGTTGACCATGCCGTTGCGGAACTCGATAAAGGTGCCGCGCTTGATGGGGATGTCGAGGTCGGCGATGTGGTGGAGGGCGAAGCGGACGAGCTCCTTGTACTGGTCCTCGCCAATGTACTTTATGAAGCTGTTGGAGGCGAGGGGCTGGCCGAGCTTGTAGGCCGTCAGGCCGTTCTCGGAGAAGCAGAAGTCGAAGAGGGTGGTGACGGGGGTGGTGGCGTTGCCGAGCTGCTCTTGCTGCTTGGAGTAGTCGGAGCCGCCGACGAAGCCGATGGCGCACTTTTGGCGGAGGCGGGCGAGGAGGTCGAGGATCTCGGGGGAGGCGGCCTGGGAAGGGGGGAGGAGGTGTTAGCTTGGATGGGATTTCCTGGTGCAATGCGACGAGGAATTTCTTTGGGAAAGACTAGAGCTGGAAAGGAAGCCGGGGATTGATATCTGATTTTTGGAAGGGTAGCTTACCAGACGAGCGGGAGTGAGGGTGCCGTCGACGTCAAAGAGGCAGATGGTGTTCTTCAGAGGGCGCTCCGTGAGGGGAGGGTAGCTGGGGAGAGAGGTAGCCATCGTGACGGTGTTTGTTCTTGTGAATGCTGGCACAATGCAGATTCAATTTCGGTATTGCGATTGGCGAAGATTTGAGGAAAGCAGCTTTGTCGTGAGAGTTTCGCGCTTCGAGGGATGGGAGGAGGGATGAGGAAAAGTTCAATGGGAAAGTTGAGCAAAGGGAGGGCGGTCAATCGTGCAGGAAAGGAAGCTCTCCTTTTCGGGATGTGGCAGGCGCGGCGCGGGGTTGCTTTTTGGATGGCGGGGCAAGTGAGGTACTGTGGTGCACTGGTGTTTGTTGCGGTTCAAGGGTCCCCTCTGACGGGTCTGGGTCTGGGTCTGGGCCTTGAGTAAAGTGTAGTAGGCAGGTGGGCTTTAAGCTGCAGGTGCAAAGAACCAAGAACCTCGAATTCGAATCAGTGCGATGTTGGACTTGATTTATAACTTTTCGTAAAGCTGTATCTTTCTTCAACGTCTACCACAAGCATTGGCAGGTATAACTCGACAATGGAGTCTCAATTGTCTGCTGACCGAGCACAATCACGGCTCCCAACTTGCCAGATCTCTTGATTGTCCATCTCTTGATGATCTGTCCTTGCCTACCTTACCAATGTCGCCATTGCAACGAGCTATGAACAGCTTGCCTCTCGCCCCCATGTACGAACGTCCAACGATACGAACGCACTGGCATTGAAACGAGATGAGATACGCCATTCAAGTGATCACTTCTGAAACTCGCCCGCTGGGTCACCTACGCCATGTATTGGGGCAATGCTGAGATGACGAGTTGTTTTGTTTCCCCCAGGAACGTGATTAATACCGGGGGAGGATGTAGACATCGTGGCCTCTGCGAACCTGGAAGTTAGGTTCCCTGAGCAGATCACTATGAGGCGCAAGGAACGATAGATTGCAATTTATGGCGGACTAGGAGGGCACTAATAATACGCTAGGCGACGGAGGATCGTGGGCTTGTGATGGGACCTGGAACTGGCTGGGAACACTGCCCCTTGCGGCGGCGCCCCGGCAGGGATGCGTGCTCCGGGGCTCGAGGGTGGAGCCGTCCCCGGCTCCGATTCGGTGACCTTCACCTTAGTACCTCAATTGCTACCTTGACGTCGGTGCATATCTTGCATCAATTACACGACCAATCTACCATTGCTCACTGGATGCTAGAGGACAGATATATCTCGTCAATGTTTCTAAGCTAACACGCAATCCGGCAACTACGCGGAATAATCCACCACCCTTACCCAGTGACGATCGTGCTGCGCCTCTGTTTCGCGCCTCTGTTTCGAAACAGTCCAGCTGGCGGCAACAATACGTGAGTGAGTCACTCACTCATCTCAGACACTCGAGCCAGCGAACGTCTTTGACATCAATCGTAAACATCTTCTGCACAGGTAAAACGCTGCCACAATTTCCCTTGCTAAATGACATGACCTCACTCGATCCATCCCTTAACCGGCTGGTTCCCAAGAGTCTCTTTTTCGTTACCAATACCGCCAACAGGCTGCTCTCCCGAACGATCGAGTCCTGATTCAAGACCAGAGTCAGTCGAGTAGCTCAGAAGAAGTATGGCTTTCAAAAAAATAAGCTTACCTTGCCCGGAGGTCGTCGTCTCGCCGCTCCTAGTGACATCGGTCCTGCGTTCTTCATCACCAATAAAGACACCTTCATCCTCGCCCAAACCGCCCTTCTCCAAATCAGTACCGGCACCAGCCTCTCGCTTGGTCTGAGAGTTCAATCCCTGTTTTTCAGTAGAAAAGTCCAAATTTCCTCCAGAGAGCGTCTTGCTCGCTAGGCCAGTGGTTACCCCTGCATTCGACTTGGAAACGGCCAGACCATCGTCACCTTGAGCGTCGGTCTGTGTCTCCCCATCTTGACCTTCACTTTCACCTCCAGCAGTCTCTTCCTCATCCTCCAGCTTACCAGCAGTCCCTCCCAACTTCCCTTCCTCCTTCGTCTTCTCACCACCACCACCACCACCAGCGCCGAACCCAGCAGCGATGCCCTTTCCAATCTCAGCAAGATCCTTCTTTCCCTCTTCACCACCGCCGCCGTGGTTATAAGCCGTAAAAGCCCTCTGCGCAATATCCCCAATCTCGGTGTAATCAGGTCCCTTGCCGCCCGCTTGATCCGCCTGGAATCCAGCAAAGGCCTTTTTGGCGGCTGACCCGACCTCCGCCCATTCCTGGTCGTTCGTGGTAGTCGTAGTCGTTGTCTGGGGAATTGACGGGTCCTGCTGCTGCTGCTGCTGTTGTTGTTGATCCTTATTGCTTTGGTCTTTGCCGGCGAGTTGCTGGGCCAAGTCTGTGAGTTTGTTGAAACCTCCCATATTGAGTATCTGAATCTCTCGACTGCTTTTTCTTCAGTAGACTTAGGGAGATAAAAACTGGTTGGGCAAGCAAAATCCGAGTTGAGTGTGATTTGTTTTGCGTGGCTTGATACAACCAAAGTTGGCATGAGCTGGAATGACCTCACACTAGGAAGGGTCTTTTACTCGGCCATTCAAGTCTCATTTTATACTTAACTACTACTCTCGTCTGTCAATGATCCAATGTTGCCAGTCACCATAGTGACGCGCTGTTTTCCCCTCGTGGAAGGGCATAAGTTGGCCAAAACACAAGCAAGTGCACACAATGACATGTCTTGGCAACCACACTCAGACGTACACATACTTGTACACACGAGCTGAGCTCTAGAAACAGAAAGGAGAGATCCAACACCAGATGAAGCGTTTGCTTTAAGTCTTGGCATCGCAACGATGCACATTGCGTAGTTGGCATTCCATGATGTTCGTCTCAATCCGTTGGCTGGGGCACGTCAAAACTTCGGTTACTGATGCCCTTTCGCTCACAAGGGGTCTGGTGGTGCACGTACGGAAAGGGAAACAGAAACACATCAGATGGTGATCGACGCCTGCAACGTAGGACCGTGCCTGAGTGCCTTCAACCTCGTTCGTAGACATAGCTGTTCGCTAGATGAAACTGCAACCATCACCAACACATCACGAGACTTTGACACGTTAAAGAAGCCAATGAGGTATCAAGCCAACCGAGATGATTGTGTAAGAAGGACGTTAGCATCTGTGATATTTATTTTTATAAACTAATGTATATGTAGATTCGTGTTTCCTCTTTTTGTACTCAGGAGGTAAAGACTGTCTATAAGTGGGAAGACAGAGAGTTTTCGTTTATTCTTCTCGTCGCACGCTATGCTTGGGTATACTCATACGGCGTAATGCAATAACGCAATATTGATACAGTCTGTACGTGTGCCAGCAGTTAAAAAGGAGAAATGTACCGTTAGAAAGAAAGGGAATAGGACACATCGGTCCAAACTCCGGTCAGCTCGACAACAACGTTGACGATGGTGCTGATCATCCACAACACAATGAGACCGTAGCCGATCTTCCGTGACATCACCCACTTGTTCATGGGTACGATGATGAGGAGGCCGAGCAGTGTGATGAGTAGCGTGATGGCCGATATCATCAACGTGCCTCCAATTTGAATGTTGTAGGAGTGGTACTTAAATGGCTTGTCAGGGTGTTTCTTATGTCGGTGGTTGGCAGCCTGGACCATCATGTAGACACCGCCAATTCCTATGCCGAGCAGGATGTTGAGCATGGGCCCACCAAAGCAAGCAGACCTGACAGTAGTTAGCATGGCTGTGTGGATGGATAGGTAGGTGAAGACTTACAATGCCATGACGGGGAACCCGAGCCGGGCAACGGTGATATCGGCAATTAGATCACCCACACTGTTGCCCGCTGCGAAGATGGTTAAGCCCAGGAGGGCTTCCGATATGCCGAAAATGACGCCCACTGCTTTCAAGACACCGACGACTTCCCCAGCGATGGTAGAAATCCAGGCTATAGCAATGATGAAACCCATGAAGCAAAGCAAGAAATGGTACTTTGGCTTCTTATCAGGACTAGTCGATAGGAGAAGGAAGCCGAGAAGAATCGTGGATCCTAGGAGTGTATACAGGATGAGTCTGACGAGGACCTTGTAGGGTTGTTGAAAGTCTTCCTTCATGTTTGCCCAGAGAATGATGACGGCGAATAAAGGCCCGGTGAAGAGCTGGATCGCGACGAGCCATCTGTTCCACTGTCCCGACTCGTCTACAGGAGCTAGACTGCTCTCCGAAGGCAACGGCTTGGCGGGTTTGATGGCTTGTGGGTGACTCGTAGGTATTTCAGCTGCCACACGCGCACCACTCGGAGAATCGATGGCAATGAGCGCTGGAGAGCCCTTGGGGGAGTGATCAAGTGACTGCCCGTGAGCGTGCGACAGAGTAGCCCGTCTGAAGCGCTGCCACTCCGTCTCCCCCTGATCGTCTTCGTAGGCGTCGGCAGGTACTGGAGCGTCGCAGTGGGAGTGATCTCGCATCATGGGATCCACGGCAGTCTCGTCGGATGAATCATCCGCGCTCTCGTTTTCGACAACCGGAAGTGTCAACACCAAGAGCAAGATGCTTGGTACAGATATAGCACTGACAAATCTGTCCCAGTGGCTTTTCTGCTTCCATCCTAGCAGAGTCGGGAACAACGTTGCCCAAAAGATATGCGGCGGAGGCAGAATGGCGTAAGGCCACCACCTTATAGGCTTGGGGTTGGCCATCTCATAAGGCGCAAATGGCACTTCGAGGCGAGCCGGACCAGGCGGCGCAAAAAACTCGGTCGGCTCGGTCTGAGCAGCAGGCGTTAAAACAAGAGGCGATTCGGTGTAACCAGGGAAGGGCGATGCAGGCGAAGACCCGACGCTCATGCTGCCACGCCGACTTGGTATTTGGAGGGAAAGTTGACCAGGTGATGGCCGAGCCTCCAAAGGTTCGCTCCCCCCACTGTCCTGTCTTTGTGGTACGGCGTCGACTGGAGGAGGTGCCAAGTTGCCACCGATTTTGTAAGCTGGTGACAGACTTCGGTTTCTGCTCTCTTGGGCCTTTATCTGTTGGATCGGGTCTGCGGGTGTTGGAAAGCGCCATGGCGATGGCGAATGGTCGCGACTGTTAATAGATCCGGGGATATCGCCAGAGGACAAGGCCCGATTCCTGTTCTGACCATATTCCTCAACGGCACCTATCGTGTATCTTCCTGAGTCGGATGGCGGCCCTCCCACTGTGTTCGTTTCACTTTGTCCCCCGAGGTGGTTGACCGAGTAGGCTCGCCCATGCATCGGTCTCATCCTGTGGTTGCTTTCCTTCTGCAATTGAGCCAGAGCAGATCGGAATTCGAGAGCGCCGACTAGACTGGGACGAATAGGCGTGAGTGTATTGCGCCTTCTGCCTCTAGGACGCAACACTCGCATGCTGCTGGCCATCTCTGCGACGACGTGCCGCCCATGATCGCTGTCTTCCGCCTCCTCGTCACTCTCTCCTTGACCATCAACTTCGATCCTAGGGCCAGCTTCCAATGCGTTGATGTCTCCAGCGCTGGAAGCGGCTGCGGAGGTGACGTGCCGGTCCTCATCGTCGGGATCATCCCGGTATGGTTCCGGTGCCAGCTCGTCGCTGAGATGCCCCACCGTCCCGTAGACATGACCTCGTGCGGCTGCTTCCCGGACCCGCCGCTGGCTCCGCCTTGTTGAGTACCAATGCCATGTGACAACGGTAACCACGTAGAAGATGTAGTAACAGACCATCGTTATGCATTCCCATAAATGCAGGTGGCCATCTGCCAGGAACACCATGGTGAAGCAGACAGCCACGATGAAGAAAGAGAGATCCCTGACGTACGTCTTCCTGCCAACTTTAAACTCGCGAACCAAAGCCATGGACCCGGCAACGACGGCGGTGATGAAGCTTGCAGCACCGATCAGCTCTCCAACAGCCATACTGGCGCTATTTGAGCCCATGGCTGCAAAAGTACTGAAGACGTCGGGTGAGCCATTGCCAAAGGCGAGGAAGGTGACGCCAGCCAAACTCTCGCTGAGGCCGAGGATGGCCGAGATTGTGCTGAGATTAACGCTGAAGAAGTCGCTGGCGGCGATGCCAATAGTGGTGAAGAGCAAGCCGAGCCAGCAGACCAGGATAATGAAGGCCAACCACTGAGCCTTGCCAAGGTCGCAATAATACAGCGTCAGGTAGGATAGGAGGCCAGCCTCGTCCTCGGCGCAGTGAGCCTTGACAAAGGCACACTGATCATCGGCGCGGTGGACATCTCGGCACTCGGTGAACTCGGATCGTTTGGTGAGGGGTGAGGATGAGAGTGAGAATGAGGCGTCTTGCAGCTGAAGCTGTCGTTGGGTAGCCTTGGTCAAGATGGACCAGGATGCCAAAAGACATATTAAGAATACGGTCGCGTAGAAAGGCCGCAAGCGAAGGGCGCCCCCTCGGATCTTGGAGGACGTTGACATGTCTGACGTCAAAAGCTGATTGTAATTGGCTCATCCGAAGCCATGGCAGAGACCGCGCTGTCGCGTTGGCGTGGCCGTGAAGCCGCTCGTTCCGCCGGACAAGGAGGAACAGATGTCTCTCAATGGAGTTTGCTATACAAAAAAGAGGGCTGCAGCGGGTTTGAGCTGAACAGCAAATGCAAGCGCTTCTCACCTTCATGTACGACTCATGGGGTTCTACCGTCCGAGGGAGGCAGCCCGGGAAAACCTGCCCAGCCTCTTTCAGGAACTATGAGCGACGCAAGCTTCTTGGCCACCACCAGGCTGGAAACCGCAGGCAATGCCCTGATTGCGCCAAGTATCTACTGGTGTCTGCGTGGGAAACCCCCCTCCGACGTGGCTGTGCGTCAACGGAGCGGCAACTCCAAGAGAGGGGGGCTGCTTGCAACGGCAACTGCAAGAGAAGAGTTCCATAGTCCTCGGCAGATAGCGATCTTGCATCACGTGCCGATAACGAGGGGGCCGCGAACGGCCGATCCAATCTGATGTTTGGACGAAACGGGATTTTCAGCTTCCCCGCCCCATCCGGCCCGGAAGGATAAGCTTGACACCTAATATTCGAGGCAGAAAACCTCTCTATTGTTGTTTCGCGTCGCCCAGGGACGTGCCTTTGGTGGGGAAAGTAAACACAAGGCTCGGCCACCCACTACTGCATCACAGCACACATGCAGCAAACAGTCAACAATTTTGACGACAACCTCAGCGCCAACAACACACACAGAAAAGATGCCTCGAGTGGCCCAAGTACCGCGCGCAAACAGCCGCGCAGGCAGTGTCAGAGCGACCTCCGGGTCGATGAACACATCGCCCTTCAAGAATTCACCAGTCAAGTACGTTTGCGACAGCAGCCCCCGTTTACCGACTCTGCATAGCAACGAAACTAAACAATGCACAGAATCCCCCTCAACGATGACGCTGAAGAAAAGGCGCGACGAGCGCATTCTCGCCACGCATTTCATGAGCGCCAGCGCAACGAATTAAAGGCTGCTGCTGCGACTCCTCTGCGCAGGAATAACAACAGCTTAGAAGATATCGAGAATGACACACCAGGCTCGAACCCCAAGACACCGCACGCCCGTGGCAGCCGAGGCAGCAGACAGGTTGTCGACGACGATGACGATGAAGGCTTTGTAGTCAGCGGAAGCGCAGTCACGCCTATGAAACGGGTCCCGATTCTTGCCAACTTTGAGGAGTGGATGAAGATGGCCACAGACAACAAGATCAACGCAAACAACTCTTGGAACTTCGCCCTGATCGACTACTTCCACGATATGTCACTTCTCAAGGAAGGTGACGGAGTCAACTTCCAGAAAGCCAGTTGTACACTGGATGGCTGTGTCAAGATTTACACGAGCAGAGTCGACAGTGTCGCAACCGAAACCGGCAAGCTGTTGAGTGGTCTCGCGGACAGCAACAACAAGAAGAAGGGCAAGGAGGGTGACGAAGTGGAGGGTGAAGAGAGTGAGGAGGAAGTCGACGAAGACGGCAACGTCAGGAAGAAGCCGAAGCGCAAGGTATGTGCAAAACGCATGTTGGCTGCGATGGTAAGCTGACTTGTGCGCAGACGCAACGATCCTCCGAGGCGACCCTAGCACCCAACTTTTCCTCGCTTCAACTCAAGAAGTTTGAGTTAGAATTCGCCGTGGACCCCCTTTTCAAGAAAACCTCCGCAGACTTCGACGAAGGTGGCGCCAAGGGCTTACTGTTGAACCACCTCATGATTGATGCCCAAGGACGCATTGTTTTCGACAGCAGTGACGAAGTTGGTGATGCACACACCTCAAAGACCCGAAAGAAGAACGAAGACGCCGACGATGAGGACGACGAGAACACAGAGATGCAGGATGCTTCGGTGGCACAAGAGGAGCCCGAGCAAGAGGAGAACGTTGAAGATGTTGAAATCGACCTAGGTGCCCTCGGCGCCAAGTTCTTCTCCGATCTTGGTCGTCTCGATGAGCTTGATGTCTGTCCATCATTGAAGAACTTTGACCTCGGTGACCCGTCTGGTTCCATGGATATTCCTTTCCTCAGAGCCCCGGAAGACTGGAGAGGTGATCAAGACAAGGACAAGAACCCCGACTCGCTGGGCGACAACTCTGGCATGTTCATTGACGGCGACAACGCTGCTGGCTTCGACGACGATGATCTTGGACTGGGTGGCTTCGAGCTTGGCGCCGACGTGGCATTTGGTGAGGGTGGTGAGGCTTGGGCCAGGGAAGCCGCTCTTGAGCCCCAAATGCGGGTCTACGATGCTGGCCTAGGCGAGGAAGCTGGCGATGGTGACGGAGTCGAGATGATGGACCCAGACAATGGAGATTTCGTCGTATCCATGTCCCACGCTAAGAGCGCGGACAAGATGCACGAAGACATTCTCGGGTATTTCGACCAAGCGCTGCAGAAGAATTGGTCAAGTGCCGAGCACTGGAGAATTCGAAAGATCAAGGACGTCAACAAGCCGGTCGGTCCTGCCAGGGTGCGCAAGGAGAAGGAGCCTTTTGAGATTGACTTCTCAGCGCCCCTCGACCAAGCCTTGGCCGACGTCTTGTACACCCAGGCATCAAGCAATTCTGCCGTCTCCATGCCCAAGAAGGACTGGAAGTCAAAGTCTCGTAATTTGCTGCCTGATGATAAGCACTTCAACTCGAAATCACTTCTCAACCTCTTCCTCAAGCCCAAAGCACGCCTCGGCCGGAGGCGAATCCTCGGAAGTAGGGGCGGTATGTTTGGCAATGCCGGACAAGACAGGGACGTCCCTGAAGGAGAGATGGACGAGGCGTTCTGGGCAAACCAGAAGGCCCCCGTCAAGAGCGAGGATGAGCCGCTGCCGGAGGGAGACTACGACGCAAACTTCTTCCAGGACGATGCCTTGCCGTTTGCCGGTGGCTTGGATGACGATGACGACGAATTTGCGGATGCCAGGGAGCACCTGTCGCCCGGCGCCGAAGGCGACGTCGGAGCTACGGAAGCTCTTGGCATGACGGCTTTGCTTGGCGGCGACGCAACCACAAATGTTCTGACCGGCGCTTTTGGCACGACTCTGGTCACGCAAACACGTCGCATGCGGCCGGATTATGTGCAGTTCGCACGTGTTGCCAAGAAGGTGGATGTGAGGCGCTTGAAGGAGGAGATCTGGAAGGGCATGGGTCTTGAGGGCCTGGACGGCGTAAGTCGAGTCTCTCGGTCACCCTTCCCATCAGGGAATGAATTATTGCTAACCCACAACCAGGATTCCACAAGACTTTCTTCACCTCATGCCCCAGCGCCACCGGTAGAGCCACCCGCCAAGGATACCGAACTCAAGTTCACCGAGGTCATGAACGGCCTGGGCTCGGTTTACCCCAAGGCCATGATGGAGGATATCTCCACGAGTTTCTGTTTCATCAGTCTGCTGCATCTCGCCAACGAGAAGGGTCTCGTCATCGAGAAGACACCCGAGCTCACGGAGCTGAACATCCGCAAGGATTGGACGGCCGAGATCGTGGGAGGAGAATAAGACAGCGACTTCACTCTCGTAACGCAAGGAGAGGAAGCAAAAAAATGGAGGGACAAGGGTGTGGCGGAATCCTGTGTTTACACGTCGAAGCATCGGCGTTTCTGTGGTTTTTTGTTGAATGACGGCATGTTTGATTTTTCTGGCAAAGTGTGTTGGGTAAACCTTTACGTCTCATAATGAACACTGGGCGGAAACATTCCATTTTGAGAGCTTCGTTCTCTATACCTTCATCTGTATCCGTACTTGAGGGCGCGGCTTGAGCTTGGGGAAAAGGAGGCTGTCTGACCACGGACGTGGACGTCTTTTGTAATGGATCAAAGAAAACAAGACCAACGAACTCTCGACGAGGGACCTGCTTTTCCTACCTTACGTTGGTTGTCTTTTGCTTTTTCTCGTGTCAGTGCTTTTTCTTTTTCTTTTTCTTTTCCTTTTCCTTTTCAAAAACGACACGCTGGGCGCCTGGGCCATGGTTCGTGATATGCATAATTCAGGTAAGCATGATTTTATTTTGTTTTATCCATCGTCTTAATTCCCCTTAGCTTGACCGTTGAAAACGAACGGACGGGAGCTAAGGAAGGCAAGGTAAGGCAAGGCCACGAACGGAGCAAGTCTCCGTTTTGAGGGCGAAGAAAAATGCTCGTGCCCGTTTTGGCGTGCTTTCTTCAGGGTCCCGCTCACCCCCCCCCCCCCCCCGTACTTGGTACGCTATGGTTTCGGATCTCAATAGTGAACGAAGACCCTGGATTTTTTGGTTCCTACGGATACACCTGAGTTGTTTTGGTTTTTCATGCAAATCTGAAGGGACGATGAGCAGCAGAACGGTCGGACGGGTTTGGGCGAGCGCAGTGGGCATCGCAGGGAGAAAATAATCAGATGGCAAGGGCGGATGCAGCGCCGTTTAGTGTCTGTATGCGGACAGCGGTGATGGAAGATTTGGTCTCTATGGATAGAACAGACTGATTACTTGGCCGATAGCATGCGTTTGACACATAGCACCCATCACGCGCGAGTTACCAAGCGGCAACAGACTCACGACAGTGGATGAAGGATTCGCTGCAGGCGAGCGACCTGCACTATTTATAAGAGTTCACGAACGCAGAATCTCGTTCCATACAGGATCGCTCTTGGGTACCCTCCCTCTTGCAGAGGCGACAATCATTTGCTTGGAGCGGCTCTCTTCTCACTTGAAGTTGTGACAGAAGAACGCCGCCTCGTGTTCGCCTCTACGGCCTAGCCGCAAATGCTATTTCACCCGCCGATTCCCCAATCAATATCGTCATCTTTAGCCAACGGCTTCGGCTGGTTCAATAATTCACATCGTGATTTGACTAAGACTCAGATGCAGCAATATGGTTGAATCTGACGCTTTGGAACGTATATGAATCTTTCAACAGACGACCGGTGTCGTCAGACTTGTCGCACGGGACGTAACCATCGCAAACATCAAGCGCAACTGTTACTCCCAGATGAGCCAACAAAACATCCGCAAGACCTCGGTTCACTTGTCCTTTCTCAAACTTTTCGCTCAAAAGGAAGGCCACTGTCTCCAACTGGGATCTCTCCTAGCGTATTCCTGGTAGAATATACGTGATCAAGTGATGGGAAGTAATTTGTCTGTACAAACCGAATAGCCCTTTCCTATGGGTATTGTAGATTGATGATGTCGTATTTGAGAAGAGATCGCTGGACATCACACAGTTGTGTGAGAACAACGAGTCAATCCACGACCAGTCGCAAACTAAGCGTCTGCCAAACTGAGCGCTGTAGGTATTCGTTCGAGACTATTAAGGATGCAAACCTGAGTTACTGCCATTGATCCCACGCAGAAGCCCGCATCGAATTTGTGCATGAGACTTTGCTATGCAGCGCATCTTGATCTCACCTCACCTTACTCTTCCGGCTCGATTTCCGACGCTGCTTCGATCCACTCGCTATCGATGAAAAACACATTTACAAGATCATCACGACAACTCCACTCACCAAAAACCCATTGAGGATAGATTGTCAAGAAAAATCAAGGAAAATCAAGACAAATTTCACGCAAACGCCTGAATCATCCTGCAACAATCACGAGACATTGCAACTTCCCATACTTTGAACCTGCTTCCAGATCAACAAACATCACCTTACTCGTGTCCCGATGAACGCGGAACGCGCACCCCAAGCAGGGGTAGTATCACTACGTAGTAGAGTCCAGGCAGGGGGGGAACCACCAGGCGGAGTAACAATCGGGTTTAGTTTCGTTTGGGCGCAACAAGGGTCCTCTGAGCAAAAAAGTGAGGCGCACGACCGTTCCTTCGAGTCGACAAAAAGAAATAACGATAAAATAGGGACCCCCAACCAACCAACACCGCCCGTCAGCCAACCAAATCCGCCAAGACCGGGGGGAGGGACCCTCTTGGAAAAATCGAAAATCAGGCCAGGACCCCGAAATCCTGACAGAATTATGACGTTGGCCGGTGCGCTCAGGGTACTTTGTGCCAACACCGCCAATGAGTGGTCAACATGACGGTGCTCAACCATGCAGGCGCCCTCAGATTGGAGCAAGACCCTTCATTTTGCCTACCTTACCCTACGCAGTACCTTAGTGCCAACGGCCGTTCGGCAGAAAAGTATTGGCTTGTTCCTGACCATCTTCCCCTCAGGAAAGGGTAACGCCCGTGATGATCCCGTCAGAAACGCGAGGCAGGACCGCGGAGGAAGGGTCCTATTTTGGTTGACGTCATAACCTCCCGACCTTGCTCTGCTATGTTTTCCCTCTTGAACCCCTACATTCCGATTTCTCTCTTCATTTATCCATAAACTCATCGTAATAAATTTGTTCAATTGAGACTGCATGCCGTTGTTCATACAGTTTATATAGTTTTTTGGTTCCTCGAGCGACCAGAGAGCTTTTGTATCATGCAGTATCCATCAACACCCTATATCCAAAAGTTACCCATCGTCTGGCCATGCGACGCAGCTTACAACGCCATTTGGACGACAAACAAATGCCACGTCCAACGGGACAAAAAAAACGCCATGACTACCCAGTTGCGCCACCTCGAACAAGATTTCCAAAAGATGCCAATCCATGAGGGTATTCAAGTAATCAAACAGACCGACCTCAGCCAACCGGGCTGGACTTGAGCGAAACGCTGATGCCATCAACGACGACGAAACAAACAACCGAATAAAACAACGATCAAACGCACGAGAATTGTACTCGAGACCGACGTCAACAGTTTGCAAATCCATAGAGTGGAAGGAGAACGATCGTTGCCGACCATACGTCAAAACTCGCATCCTCTTATTGGATCCGACGGTTCACGATCTCACCCGCCCGCACCAACGCGCTCATGCCGTCGAGCTTCGGATCGCTCCTCTCCTGAATACCGAGCGACGTTGCAGAAGAAGCACCCGATGATGCTTGCGACACGTTCGATCCATCAGTCCCCGTTGACGAGGTGGACTGGTATCTCAATAAGGCAGGTGGTGATTGGTAACCTTGTAACCTCATTAGCCTCTGCGGAAAGCCTTGCTTGGTTTGACCGTGAGTACCATTCGTCGCTCCCATCGGAGCTTGAGGCTGCCCCGCATAGGGCAACTTTGAATCCTGGAGCGGCTGTGATCCAGAAGGCGGCACCGTCGAGAACGGTGATGGTTGCAACTCGAAAGGAGGACCCGGCAAGGTCTTGTTCGACAATAAGGCGTGAATCGGTAGCGAAGATTCACTAGGTGTTCGGGGATACGACAGTCCAGATCCAGAGGATGAGATGCTTCCCGCGGAAGAATATTCATGCTTCAATGCTGGCGGTGCGGAGGGACCAGGGTGTGTCGGAGGCGCGAAGCCCCCAAAGCCATTTGCCTCAGGAGACCTCGAAACCCCGTTCAATCCTCGTCCATTGTTGAACACATCCGAGAGGGAAGGAAGATGCGGAAGTGTGACTGGCTCTGGTTTGGCTGGGGCTTCCGTCCATGCTGGGCGGTGGTTCCGAGTCTGTGAGGTACGGGGACTTGTGGAGTGCAAGCTCTCGCGATCGAATTGTACACTGGCAGGGGAGTGTACCGAATCATCGTTGGGATGATGATGGTGGGAAATTGGGGTCGGCACGGCCGTCGAATATTGCGATTCAGATACCGACACCACGGAACCCACACGCTGTTTGCGATTAGGAGGAGGTTCGCTTCCCTGGTGACTCTCTGTTCCACTCCCTGTGCTACTGAGGCTTCCAGGTGTGGCACTTGCGCTTCCTCCGTTTTGCAGACGAACCCCCGAATCAAGCTTCTGACGTTTCGACGACTCTTTTGCTGGATCAGGGTCAGCTTGGCGGCCACTCGAGGCGACAAACCTCCACGCACCTTGATTTGCGGAGGCTTGCCGTGCCTTGAAATCTTGTAAGTACAGGTTGTATTTCCTATACTCTGTTGTCTTCTTATACTCAGCCAAGTCGTGGTTGTATTTCTCCTTGGCTTTCAATGCGGAAGTTTCGTATGGCTCCTTCTCGCCGGGAGTTAAGTTTTGCCAGTGCTCTCCCACAAGCTTGGCTATCTCGGTAAATGTCAAGTTCCGACCTTTGAGGTCATCACGCATCTCTGTGGGATTGATCAGATATATTCCATCATCTCAAAGCAGGGTGTAATCCACAACATACTGTTTGAAAAAAGGACATAGGCCGAAGGAGGTCTCTCGGGGGCATTTTCATCAGGCTGCGTTGGTTAGCTTCGTCCAGGTACGAGTGTACGTCTGCATGAGGGTTGCGAACCTTGGGGTGACGCCTATACTTTCGTTTCGTAGCGACGGGTCCCTCCTTGACCTCGAGGCGGGGTTGATCAGGTCGTTGTGTCTCGGGCTTTGGCTCTTCTGCGTTTGCTCTTGCGGGCGAAACTAGTGATGCATCCGGGGCAAGACCACGAGAGTTGGCGATGCGTCTCTGCAATTTCTGCCTTGTGTTAGGGCTTGTAGGGGTTGCGGATGTACGTCAAGCACTTACACGTCGGTGTCCTAACTTGACTCCAAGTGCGTCGCTGCAACATTATCCTCGTTAGTCTCGAGTATGTGGCGTGGCAATAGCCATGGTTTACTCACAGGTCAGACTCAGTAATGTCCAAAATCGTCTCCCACGTATCGAATCCTTGCTCGAGAAAGATGTCTAGGTACTGCGAGATGCCTAGCTCTGCAAAGATTCCATCCAGTCCTTGCGCCATGGTTTATCTGAGTGGCGTATATCAAGTTACGTCAACTCGAAAGTGCTGTTGTTACGGGACGGCAGTGCGATGGTTTGCGAACTTCTTCTACGTCGAAAGTGATCTCCAAAGAATTGGCTTTCACTGTTTGCCGCTTTTCGTTCAAATCCCTCTCTAAACCCAAACTCTTTCATTCAGTCGTCGATTCGATTCGCTACGTCTCGATTTCCGTCGCTCGAAGTCGAAACACTTCCTTTTGCGTGGCGGTCAACCAATAATCATCGAAGGCTTTCTTCTCAATCAAGTCGCGGCGGATGGGCAGCGACAGGCGGCGCCTGTATCGAATACTGAGTGTCGGTCGGCAATGATCGTTTTCTCGTCGGCTTCGATACTGCGCAGATCGATCCAAGAGCGATGTTGTTGAAGTAATTCCGAAGTATTCGTTTGCTGGGCGAGTTCTACGTCTGCTTGGGGCGTTGATGATAAGTAATTGCAGAAGAGGAAGGCGTGTGGCACGCATGGCGTGGATATACCAAGTTGGTGGCTGCAATATGGAGGACGGATCTCGATGACATTGAAGGAGACCGAGCTTTTGGGGTGTGGGACAACGGCAAGTACCAGACCAAGCAAAGAGGGGCTTCGGGATTCAGATGGAATGGGATGTGCGCTCTGGAAAGAATACGTACTTTATGAGAATGCGTTTTTCTGAGCCGGCTCGGCGGTTCGCAGCCGCATGAACGACGGGGAAGACAACGGATAGATGGTCTGGTCTGGTGGAGGAAAGTAGGGCGCGTCTTTGGTGGGAGTGATGAAGACTGGACCAAGTTTGTTTGATCGAAGAAGGGGGTTAGGTTTGGGAGAAAGTGACCAAGCCGGCAAAGTCTTTTTTTTTTTTCGTCGTCTTCCTTTGCACGGGTTGGGAATCGGGAACGGTGAAGAAGAACTGGGGGGGATGACCGTCTACCGAGACGGAGAGGAGAGAGCGAGTTTGGTGAGCCAAGGGGAGGAAGGTAAGGTAAGGTACGGATGGATGCCAGTGTGGTACGGAGGAAGGGCGAGGTAAACGGTTCGAAGATTGAGAAGAACTAGCCCCGCGGTGATCGACGCGGATTAAGAGGTGAGGTCAGAGGTGTAAATGGGGAATCTCTCTCGAGGGTGGGTGTGTGTTGATGGTCGACCGTAAGGTAAGGTAAGGTAGTGAGTCTAGGTACGGATACTGGTAGCCTCAGACGTCGCCGCAGACTCGACTTGTGATCCGGGGTGGCATGTCCAATGGCCCCAAGCCCCAAGCAGAGAAGCTAGAGCAGCAGACTGATGGATAGCTCAAGGTACCCAGGACAAGCTCCCTGGCGTCTGATCGCAGAAACCGACTTTCGAGAAGTCGGCGACAACAACAGTGAGCATCTGTTACTGGAAGCCCATCGCAAAGAAAAGCGGGATCAAGCACAAGGACAGACACATATGGAGCCCTTTTGGAAGACATGGAAAGACATGGGTTCTCAGCGAGTCAGGAACAGGAAACGGCCGCTTGAGATGGGCCTTCGGGATACATGCAAATCCTGTACCGGTACATGAATTCCGTACCTGGACCATGTCTTCTTCCCTTCCCTCTTTGCCTCACTCTCCCAAGACTACAGGGTAGAAAGTAAGGTACCCTAGACACGAAGTAGGTACCTTACGTAGGTACCTCAGTGCCTCTCTCTTTCCCCGTTAAGCCCAAGGCACCCACCAAACTTGAGGCCTCAGGCCGGAATCACACATGGGTACGGAACTGGAAAGAGTGCTAGTGGCCCTGGGCCACTGCCCACTGGCTGGTAGGTAGGTAAGGTAGAGACTGAGAAAGAGAGGGGGGTGGGTGTTCATCCATCATCCATCCACTCAAAAATCACTCCCCTCGACAACCTACCTACACCTCCAGGCAAGAGGTACCTTACCTTCGCACCACACAGACATAGCAGACACGCTAGACTCTGATGTGCCAGCCCACCACTCTCTCTCATGAACGGAATCCGCTCCGTAACTCGACTGACTGCAAGTGCGGTAGCGGGAGCGGCATCATGGCGTGCCTCGCCTCGACAGAACATTCCCAAGCCGTACCTGCACACTATCTAGACTCTCACCACTTGGCAGAACACACGATACCAAAACAGCCACTATTGAAAAACCAGTGCTGACCCTAGATTCAAGACGGCATCTGCATCTGGATTGACACTCCAATTCGGCAACGGGCCCTTCGAGACCGTCGCGGGTCATGCCGCTGGCTTCTGGCCAGCATTCTTCTTCTTCCTCTCCAAAAAGAAGAGCGGGGACCGAACATCGTCATTTGGGTCGCGGAATACCGCCCGTCAAACATTCGGCCAGGAGAGTGAGAACCTCGCCCTCAATGCAGGCAGTAACTAGCCAATTGCTGCATTATCATTCGCATGCCAGAACTGCTTGGGACAATGGCCAAACAGCGCGAATTCGATTCTTGTTGACGGGACTGTGCCTGACTCTATAAACAGCCCTGCGATCAAGTCACTGTTCCATTGCCTGCTCTCCAATTAAGAGCACGCCGTCAAAGTGAATCTCGATGTCGATTCCACCTCAACGCTCATCAGTGTGTTTCTCAGACAAGCCAGCTCGCGCTTCTCGACGTGTCAGCGTTCGAGCAGCCAGTCAGACTGGCTCAAACCGCCAGAGATGGCTATTCACACGCCTCTGCGCGGGGAGACGGAGCATTGCACCAAGGATTGAGAGACACCTGAAATCGAAGAATTGCGCCGCGATCGAAAGCCGCCACCACCCCTGCTACACACGCTCACGCGGATGAATCTGGCCACCACGGGCCACGGTTGAGGAACGCACCTCGTCCGTAGGTAGTTGTCCCAAAGCACGGTGCGGGTGAGACAACAGACCGCAACCTAGGACGACGTAATAATTGCGTTGACGTCTCTCGTTCACCTCGCAAATGTCCATCTGCACATTATGGAACAACCCTAGTGATTATACGAATGCCGGAAGAAAACGTCCACATAAACGACATGGCAATGTTTCGATGATCGATCATCCAGAAGTCGATCCAAGACGAGAAGCCGTTCCGTCACGGCCGTGTGCGCCAGGGCACAGCGACCTTTGATTCATGATCCATTAGACCCAAAGCAAAGGCCATCAGGGGGCGTTAGCATGGTGCCGGTGCGATGTGTCTTGCCGGTAGACAGATACGACAGACATATCACCGAATTTGCAGAAGAATCGCATTTTCGCAATGCGATTACTGATGGCACAACATGCCGTGTAACTCTGAACCGACACAAGGGGCAACTTCGCCGTCGGCTGACCTAGCAAGCAACAGTGTTGCCTCCCATTTAACCGAAATTTCGTTATGTGGCAGAGGGGTAAAAGACGAAAGCCATCGTCAGTCTGGAGATTGTGCATTCGGCTCGATATGGCATTCAGGTGACGGGTCGCAAAGTGAGGCTGAGAGCACATGTGCTTTCACTTCTGGGTTGTTACCGGCTCCACCATCCATTAAGAGCGTTCTGGAACTCGGACCATCTGAACGAAGCTGGATAACCCGACGGCGAGCAGGATTGGCACGGTATCTAGGCGCATGCAGACCCTTTTGACGAGGCACTGGAACGAGAGATATGCATCAAACAATGCTTTTCGAGAGCTGGTCAGCACGGATTAGGGTCATGGACCGGTCCAGCGTCGCCAGACTGAACCCGCCCATGGTGCCAACACGATCTAGGCCATTCCGCACCCCGTTAGTAGCACGCTACAGCACCAAAGACGCGAAAACGCGCCAGACCATCAGAGAACAACACCCATAGCCACATACAAGCTTGTTGACGACGGAGCATTGACTGGATCGACGTGGTCTGTGTTGCGATGTTGAAAGGTGACAGAAGCTGGTAAATTGAGGGTTCTGAAATAGCAGCGCTAAGTGCGGACTCAGCGGAGTACGGATATCTTGTTTCAATATGCTAACATCCATGGCCAGAACTCGCACCGGTACGAATAATCATCTCACCACTTCAAATTTCCATACGGAAAACACGACATGGCCATGGCCCATGGGCTCCCGCTGCGGAGGGCGTTGATCTATCCGTGTGCTCCAATGGACGACGGAGGGTTTCGCCGTGGAACGTGCTACCTACATGCCTAATGGCAGTGTTACAGAGCATCGACGCGCTAGTCACCTCCCGACCCAACCTCCGATATGGACTTCCAGCCGTGACGTAGATTTGATGCAGCACGAGGTTTGCGGAACCGACAACCTCGGACCAACTGGATCTTGTTGGATCCCTTCTACGTCGCCGAATGACGATGAGTTGCAACAAACTGTAAGGAGCTCGTGGGCCAAAGTTTCATCGAAGATGCGAATCTGAAGATTAGCGGGCAGCAAATGGGCTGAGAGTAGCCACCGGCTGGTCTAGACACCGAGAGAACGGAGACTGTGGGCGTGAGAGACTGGGAAGAGGCAGGAGGAGACAAGACAGTCTTGCGCGCGAAGAAGAAGGGAATCGTCGATGTTTGCGCATGGCCTGCAGGTCTGGTTGAGGTATATCGTCACTGGGCATTCGAGAATACGATCGCAGACGGCACGTACGATCACCATGGGAAGCACAGGCGACAGGGCTGATGCTGTTCTTACGCGGGCATGCCCAGACACTGGGCCGCTGGCAGGCTGGTTGGCGAGAGAGTCTAGACTTCTACTAGGTGCAAGTGTATCTGTACAAGACTGTCCGTACAAGCGTAACGTAGGCCGCAGGCGCACAAAAGCATGACTTTGCAGTGAGCGAGCAAAGCAAGGCACGAGACGGGACTGGATTTGGCTGAAGTCATCCAGGGCGGAACCGTAAGTTACGGAGGAGGGCACATGGATGGACAGAGGGATGGGATCATTTGGGGGTTGTGGTGATGGGTGTGCGAACAAGGTTCCAATGACTGCGACACGGTGAATTCCAACATCTCGATCGCGAACGCCCATTTCCCAGTCATCGAGATTGAGCAAAATGCCACCAAGACTGAGAGAGATTGGACCGCCGCCAGTGCGTCAGAAAGCACTGGGTTTTGGTGTTTGGGATCCGATGTCATTGTTTTTTCACTGATCAGACACTGCAAAAGTCCGATCGGGATGGGATGGGGTTTTGGTTGGCATCTGGAAGTGTGCGGCGGCATCGAAAAAAAGAAAAAGAAAGAAGGAACACCTGGAAAAGCTAGTTGGGGGTTCTTTCCCAGCGCAGCGAGTGCCTGTAGGGGGTTTAGGAAGGGAATGTTGACAGTTTCCGGTGCGGTCCACCACGCCCAAGTGGGGTTAGCACCAGGACACTTCCTGCTAAGTAGGCGGTACCTCGAGACCTTCGACTGTACAGCCACCTGCCGCATTCCATGAGGTGACGTGAGGTACCTACATCAGGTACAAATACTCGGGTAGCTTTGTGATGACAACAGACTCAGTGCTGTACTTGCAACGGGGGAACCCAGGCTACGGCTCAGCATCCCACCCTTTCTTCACTCGCCCTGCTTGCCCCATAGTTATCTAATGCTATCGTGGTAGGGACGGAAAGTAAGGTAGAGGGATGACCTCACTTTCCCCAGTTATGTCTACGAAGAAGAAGAAGAAACAACAACTCACGGGCGAGATGTCAACCATCGAGCCTGCCTTTCACATCCGTCTACTGAACATCGGCAGGAGAGCTGGAATTGCCATTCCGTCTACCGTGACAACATTGCAAATGGATGTCAAAATCCTATCCGAGTCACACGGGTTCGAACAATATGTCCGTTCAAGGCCTTTCCGTGCCTACCTACCTACCTCCCATCGCAAGGTACCATCCCATTCAAAAGTGAAGCAAACCATGGCAGTCACAAGCACAAGTCTGGAAGAATTTCCCGCTACCAACTGCCCAGTTCAATACAACACGACCCTCTGGCTTTCTGGCTGCATCGGCTCTGCTTTGATTCTGCAGTGGTAACCTGTCGGCAGGTTTCCAGGTTTTGCGTATACTGTAAAGGACGTTAGGGGAGGGGATGCGCTTGCAGGCAACAGCAGGCTTCGGATCAAATCAATCAACCTGGTTCCCGAAGCTTAGCTTGGCAACGATACTTTCTTGCCAACGGTGCGGCGGTGCACCCCCCAATATTGAGTGGGCCACGGGTGGGATGAATCTGCATCCTGTAATGGAATCGGAATCAGAAGTCGACTTCCCATCATCATCACGAGGACGGAAATGGTATTCCCGGCTCAAGATCAAGGCACCGACAGTCATATTGACCATATCTGATTTGGGGACAATCAGGCCGAAATTCCCGCGATAGTTTGACAATCCCTGCCTTATTATTTCGCACCTGTTGCCCAGGTAGTACTGTTGTAGTAACAACGCATCCGGAGATGCACGGGTCATTGCGATGAAGACATGATCGCGATACCACATTACGACGCTACTTACTCATTTCACATACACTGAGCAACCTCGTCGTTGTGGTCAGCAAAAGTTGAGGCTGAACAACGATGTTCAAGTCCACGAAGGGACATGCAGCAAAAGTGTTAGTGCCCAGAGGCGGATTCGAACCGCCGTCAACACGGATCGCTGTATAGAAGAACCACAACGTATCATCCTAACCAACTAGACGATCTGGGCCACTAGTTGAAGTTGTGTTTGGCGGAGAGCTCAATGTCTAAGAAGCGCAGCGGGGAGAGGTGTAGAGTTTCTCTAGTTTTCGTAGGCCCGTAACGGTCGTGCTTAGGTAAGCCGCGGGTACTATGCGTCCTCCCCAAGTGAGTGTGAGGGGTTCGAGTGACCGCGCATTGCTGCCGCCTATCGACGACACGCCGTTGAATCTACGGACGTCTCGAGACCCTACACTACAAAATTCCATTCATCCATCCCAGGAACATTCAATATCATCTATCCCCTGACACACGACACCGAATTATCGCCTTTTATTCGGCATTACCGAATCCCGGGTCATCTGGTACGCTGAGCCACCCAGAGAAGAGCTGGTCCCCTCAGGCCGGGAATCCACGCACGCTTGTCGCCCTACCTTGGCCAGAGCAAATCACTAACAAAGCTACAACAAAAAGTAGTACCGAGTATTCAACAGCGTATCGACGACTCGTCGACGACAAAACATCACGAGAAGGCGGCGCAAAAAAAGACGCCTAGTATCCGCATTTCCCACCATTACGACACGTATACCAGGGTACGGGAAAGGGCAATCCACGGTATCGACAAAGGGTTGGATCGGTGGAGGATTAAAAAAAGAGGGCGACCCCTCCCATTAAGACCCCCAAATCAGGCCACTATCTTCTCCCCTTTTGTTTTTTCCCGGGCAGCTTTTTATTTTCTCGCCCTTTTGATTCGCCCGCTCATCACCATCTTCCGAACATGGCCCCAACATCCAAGGCGCCCGAGTCCGCCTCCCCGACAACGACCGGGCCCGATGGCGACTCGTCTGTGGATAACATTGCCCAGGTACGTGTGTGTTGTTACTGTTATCCCGTTGCACTACAATTCTGCAAGGCGGTTTGGTTTTGTCTTGGGACCCCGACACAGCAAGGGGCCTGGGGACACCTGAGCGGATCGCGCTGAACGGCGCAGAGCTTTAGGCTTAACCGCGGTCCCAAAGGTGGTTTTTTGCCCGTCTTTCTGTGCCTCGGTTTACCATCTACCCTGTGTTTCCCATCCTTTCCATTCTCCGTCTCTCTCTTTCGCAATCTCTCGTTCCGCCCCTAGATGCCTCACTCCGTCTCTCCTCCCCCGGTCACCTCGCTGAGTTCTGCGCCATCCGCCTTTGGCAGGCCCGTTGGCAGCTCCGCTGCTCTCCGCTCGTACATACGGAGCGGCTGGGGACTTGCCTGGTGCACGCACGCTGTAACTGCTGCAGAGGAGAGGAGAGGAAGTAAGGGCAAGTGAGGGCAGAAGGGGGTGGCATCGGATGGGAAAACCCCCCTACCTAGGCTGTTCCAGGGCTGACCACGTTCGGGGCACGTTCTAGGCCTACAAGGACCTGCTAAGGTACGCTCATTTGACGAGTATTTTTCCTTCATGTTACTCTGTCCCCCACTCTCGTCGTCTGCGAGCTTGAGTGTCAGCACCCCTTGTCTTCGCGCCCATGGCGTGAGGGAACGAAACGCCCCTCTCCCTGCTTCGCTCACCACAATGTTGAGAATGGCATGTTTGCACCCTGAACGAGTCGGAGCTGCCTCCGAAGCTGCGACCCCCGAGGGAGAGCGTATCGCTACGGATACCTACACTACCTTACGGTACTCAGCAGTCTGGCCCAGATTTTCTCACGGATCCTTGCGTGGCACAACAGCGGCGCGGCGCCTGTGCTCACATTCATTCGTTCGTGGGCAAGACATCACCAACCTTTCCACCTGGTGCAAATCCCCCTTTTTTTGCGAATGGCGTTCTCAGCCTTGGACTCTTCTTGGATTGGTGTCGGATTTTGCTCGATCCGGCATAGACTCGAAATCTAGCCAGAGGTCTTTTTTCCCCAGGCTCACAACCGCCGGTATTCTTACATTCTCGACTCTGCGGGGTCCTGTTCTAGCGAAGAGGGCCGTCCACGACCTAGCATTCCTCTGGTCGCTTTGCCCGCGATACCCTCTACGGGGGATGTCGCATCGAAGCGAGACACGCGATTTTATCGCTCGATCTGAGGCAGGGTGCTGGACGGGCTGTGGTCCGGCATTCTCTCATTCGCTGTTACAAAAACCCATGTGCGACGATGGCTTTCGGTTACCGCTTCCGCAGAAAGCCCATATCGTTGAAGTTCTAGACCCTCCCTTTGGCCCAGACTATCCGCTGGCACCGCGAGCCTAGAGGCGAATACGGCCTTGAGCATCTTACACCTCCAAGCCTAGCGCCCACATTCAGTCTCAGCCCATGAGCACTTCGCGACGCCCGGGGCCGTTGTCAGATCACACCCAAATACTATCTGCATCGCCAGACTTTGGGGGCTACTGCACTTCCCCTTGCTCCCCGCCGGGGTCTAGCCAAGCGGCAGGACCGAGAAGACAAATTCCCATGTTTCGTTACCCATTGAGATACGCCCTCGTGACCGCTATCATACACGCCATTCTTTTGAAGAGAATTTGGGCTAACCGCAAATTGCATACAGAGGCGAGCAGGCGGCCAGCGCACTCGAGGCCAACCTGACGAACCTCGAGGGTCGACTTGATGCACTGCTAGCCGCGTTCGAATCGGCTCAAGAGCCCAACGAGGACGGCACTGTGGCACCACCGCCCGGCCAAGATGCGAAGAAGCCGGACGACACGGTCCCTGCCAAAACCTCCAACGGTGGAACCCAGAGCCCCGAGTCCAAGTCTACCGAGGCGGCAAAGAAAGCCTAGATTCAGATCTACCTTTTGACGATGCGGCGCCGCCGCCGTCGCCGGCTATTAGGCACTGGTCTGTGGCTGCGTACACACACATTCGACGGCCGCATCGTGAAAGGGCACGAAGGGTCGGTCAGCATTTAGTTTGCGGTGTCACGAACTCGCGGTGCCACGGTGTTCTGGACCCGGGACCCCCATCCCTATTGCATTTGCATTGCATCGTATTCTCTGCCCTTTGCGGTTCCGCATGGAAGCGAATTCTGGGGTTTGCGACAAGACCAAAAGGTGGCGAAGAATGGGCGCCTGCATGCCCCAGGCACGACGATCCATGCTAGGGATCAGGGTTGCCCTCAACACGTGTATTAGCGGATTTTTTTTCTCTTGTCCCCGACCTTGACCTATCATATACATTCTCACCGACCGCATCCCGTCGTATATTGCAATCCCCCCCATTGATGTATCCGCGCGTACACGTGGTGACTTTTTCCTCTTTCTCTCTCGGGCTTCGCACAGGAGAGGGAGAGGAAGGTACATGGTATAAGGGTCCTTCTTTCTCACGGTAGGAATAGGGGATGGGAAGTTATCGAGATTGGGGCAAACCGGGGAGAGGCGAAGGCGAAACTGCGCGCAGCATTGCCGGATTTAGACGGCTTTTGCCACTCGCTTATTGCTATCTACATGTCCTAGGAACCACTCAACTTTTCCCTCCTTTTTTCCCATCCTTTGAAGAAGATCTAGAACCTGGTGATGCATGGATTAAAATGTGATTTGAAATGTGATTGAACTGTTTTTGATGTTGTGTCGGTGTGTGTACGGATATAGTGTGGTAGTTTGTGTGTGATAGTCTACCTAGACAGGAGCATAACCTCCTTCCTCACCTCCTTGCTTCCCTTGCACCCCCCGTCCCCGTCCACGTCTGCGTCTCACTCAAAGGGCCAGAAGGGACTCGGCCGACAATGTATGGACGTTTCGAACCCCCCCCCCCCCCTTTCAGCGCGGAGGAAAATCCCCCTCGCAATTCGCAGGGTTATCCGAACGGCGGGGGGAGGGGGCATCCAACGGCCGTTCCTGACACGCAGATCGTTGGTCAACGAATGAGAAGTGAGAGATGTGAACCCGATTTGGGGGGTGAATCGACAACGGACTCCCGATTAGAACGGTGTATAGTCCCAGTCTCCGGATCAAACGCTCCGTTTTTTATTATTGTTGTTGTTTTGGTGAGATCGTGATGGAGGCGAGAGCGAGAGCCCGGCTGGCTGGCAAGTGGCGATGTGGTTTTGGGCTGGCACGGCTGGTTTCTAGACTCCTGGAGACGGTTTGTATGTAGATCCTTGGATGCGGCGGCGGCTCTAACTTGTGCTGGTGTGTCCCCATGCATATTTATTCGTATGTGTGTATTTTAGGTGCCCATTTCCGCTCCCCGGTCCAATCGGGTGTGATAAGTGACATTGGGTATCAAGTCATGTTGTAGGTGGGTTTGCTTATGTGCTTGTTTACCTGACCCTTGGTTGAGAGTTGAGGAGGCTAACTGGCTCCCTGTTGCCCCCCTTGACGGCGGTCGTTGAACGGTTTTTGATAGCTCTCGGCCGTAAATATATCATTGTAACAAAAACAAGGATGTAAAGTGTAAACTTGGGTTGTCTGGGTAGAAGAAGCGAATCGAGCCTTTTTCCATGCTTTTCGTCTTTCAATAGCGTTGCGTTGTAGAATTTAACCGTTTAACATACAAGCGGGCTCTTATACTCGCGGATATTCTCGCAGCGGCGTCGAAATAAAGGTAGTGGTGATAGCGGAGACCGTCCATGGATCATGATGGATTGGGCGGTAAACGGCGGTAACATTTGATCGACGGGGGGAAAAAGTAAGAGAGAGAGAGAGAGAGAGAGAGAGGAAGGGGAAAACCTAGTTAGCCTCGTTGAAGAACAATAATGTTGACAACTATCTACCGGCTCTGCAAAGAGAATGTTCTCCCCTTATCTCCTATTGCTGATGCCAATCTTGCATTCAAAACGTCTTTTTGCGGAGTATAGACATGTCACATCGTCCCTGTTGATAAAACTTCCAACGAAATGGAGGGCAGAAATTTTGCTCGTGGTTGTTTGCAAGGAGATCCCTTTGACAGTTGAGCCTTCTATCTTAGGTAGGCACACTCCGTGCAAGACGTGAGATGTAAAGTATTATGGAAAAGAAATACAACGACTTGGCTACGTGGAAAGTTTATCAGGGCCGAGATGGCTTCTCAAGAGTGGGAAGAATATAGAAGACAGTCTTAGGGGGGATCGTACAAGAGGGCAAGTTAGATCACCCAAGATATCATGATACCCCATGAAGAACCGAACAAACAGCCAGCTGCATGTCTCCTCGTAGAAGAAATCATCACGCAGCCGTCTCACAAACTTTCAGGGTCACAAAGGAGAGCAGTTCAAGTCTGGGTATCCAGCCCGACCAAGGCGATCGGGCCTCTTTAATATCAAACGATGTAAAGTCTTCTGTCCCAACCCTATACCCAATAGACGCCCTTGTTGCTAGTACCTTGATCTCACTGATGATGGAAAATCCCAGATCCACGTCTCTTTGGCCCTGGCTATTGACCTTCTATGCTTGTTCCCAAGGAGACTAATGTCGTGGCCAGAGTCATCGACTCCAACTACTAACGTCTCCGAGAAGAAGAGAGCACAAAGCATAGCCATCTCATGTACTGGCTGTGTGGTAGGTGTCCCTCCTTGTCAAGCCTGAGTAATAAATGTAAAACTGCAATGGGAAGGTTAACAAACGGCAGAGAAGGGCGACAGCGTTGACACTCTGCCCTTTGCCCTTTGATGATGATGAAAAAAGTCAAAAAACGAAAACTCCTCAACGGCCTTCAGAGCCCAAATGTTGCCCTGCCTGGCCCGTCTGTATGCAAAGCCCATCTTGGAAATTCCTCCCGTGAACCAACCCACGAGCCTAGCTGCCCTCACTGCGTGGGCAAAACACTGCTGCACATGAACCCACTGTGTGAAATCTCGGACGCTGCTTTCCTCTTCTGTCTTGAGAAGCTCTTAGCCACTGAAGGAGGGGGGCCGAGCGGGCTGTATCGTATGTGATTTGGTGTGTGTGTAAGAGTGTCGAGTGAAAGGTAGGATGGGGAAGCGACGATGTGCGTGTTGTATCCATCAATGATCTTGTAACTCTTGGGGTATTTCATCGAAAACGATGTCAGTCGAATGTGGTTTACTCGGGGTTCCACTTGCGTTTTTTCTGAGCCTGTCCCTGCACATCCCAGTTAGGAACTATGTGACCTCAGTAGCAGCTGCGCGCACGAACAAGAAACCAAGTTAGCTTGTAAGGCTGCGCGAGTCGGAAAGGCCTTTACGTGCCCTAGAAATGGGGTCTTCCTGGTCTGCCGTTGCCACTGCTGGGCTGGCTGGACTGGGTCCCATGATTGGTTCTTTTGAAGTGAAGGATCGGGTCTCCAGAGGCGGGCGAAGATGAGACTGAGGATGCTCGTTGGAGCTTGCCTTGACTCTCGACTGCTGAGCCATATCCCTCTCCCGATTCTTCTCCAGAAGCTGACCGCCGAGGGTCGCACACTTGAGAATGGTCTGGATCAGGTGGTTCTGCTGCAGAGGCTTCGACAAGTACTCGTCCATCTGTGCCTGGATGCATTTCTCGCGATCACCCATCATGGCGTGGGCTGTCAGAGCAATAATGGGAGTACGATGCGAGCCCAGGCTGCGCTCGTACTCACGAATCTTGCCTGTTGCCTCGAAACCGCCCTGTTGGGAGTGGGATTAGCTTGCTATCAAAGATGGTCAAGTAGTAATAGAAATTCCGGGACTCACCATGATGGGCATCTGAACATCCATAAGAATAACGTCAAACTTCTTCGCCTTGATGGCCTCGACAGCCTCGAGACCGTTGCCAACAACCGTGACCACGTGGTGGTACTTTTCGAGAATCTTAACAGCAAGTCTCTGGTTAACCCGGTTGTCTTCCGCGAGAAGAATCTCGAAAGACTTGGTGTTGTCGGCCAGAGACGGCGTCGCGCGGTTCTCGAGAGCAGGAATCATGCCGTTGCCGAGATCCACAGCAGTGCAGGGCGTCGTCATGTATGATGTGATACCCAAGTCCAGGCACGACTTGAGGTTCACGTGAACGACAGGCGCTAGGAGAACGATGGGCAGGTACTTGAAGTCGTCCACGGATCTGAGCCTCCTGGCGGTATCGATGGAGTCGACAATAATGACATCGTACGGCATCGCCTGAGCGTCGCGAACGCTGGTGAGGATGGGGTTCTTCTCCGACTCGACAACGACGGGCTTGAGGCCAATCAAAGACAGCATTGTCTCGATCTGCTCTCCGTAGCCAGATTGCGACTTGTCGACAAAGAGAACCTCGTGACCCTTGTACGGCTTGATTTGCTTCTCGATGATCTCGACGCCGAGATCCGACAAGCGCACTCGACACGTAAAGTGGAACTCACTGCCTTGACCATGTTGGCTCTTAACCCACAGGTCGCCGCCCATGAGCTTAACAAGGCGCTTCGAGATTGAGAGTCCGAGACCGGTTCCGCCAAACTTTCTCGTCATTGAGCCGTCGGCCTGCTGGAAAGTGTCGAAAATGAGGTCAAGCTTATCCGCGGCAATGCCGATACCTGTGTCCGTAACGATGAATTCGATAGCGTACTGGTCAGGACCGCATGCCCAAACAACAGGATCGGCCTTCTTAATAGTCAGACTGACTTCGCCGTGTTCCGTGAATTTAATGGCGTTTCCGACCAGGTTCAGAATAATCTGCCTAAGACGGAATGAATCTCCAATGACGTGATCCGGCACGGAGCTGTCGACGCGGTAGGTGAGGTCGAGGAACTTCTCGTTTGCCTTGACTGCCAGTGTTTTGAGAGCATTGAATACCGTTCCTCGCAAAGTGTACGGGATCTCTTCTATAACCATCCTGCGTGCTTCGATCTTTGACAAATCTAGAATGTCGTCAATGATGGTGAGTAGACTGTTCGCCAGACTGTTGACAATATTCAACATCTCTCGCTGATATTGTGTCAAGTCCGTGTCTAGTGTCAGCTGCGTCATGCCGATAATGCCGTTCATGGGTGTACGAATTTCGTGAGACATATTTGCCAGGAACTCGGACTTGGTTTTGTTGGCCAGCTCTGCCGCCTCACGAGCCTGCGTATTCCTCTGGATACTGTCCCGTAAATTGGACACCATCTGATTGATCTTTCGTTTGAGTTCGTCCATTTCGCCCGAAGCTTCCACTTCGACAAGTTTCGTGAAGTCTCCGTCTGTTGCCAAGTTCGTAATGTCTGAGAACGCACGCACTTGAGTTGTCTAATGAAGCAGTCAGAAACGCAAAGACCCAATGTCATAGACTGTTTCGCACTTACCAAATTACTAGCCATGGTATTCACATCAGTCGTGATCTCGCGCCAACGACCCTTTAAGCCGGCAGGATCTGCTTGCGCGCCCATTTTGCCGTCGACGCCGACGTCTCTGGCCACTCTTTGCACTTCATTACAGAAGTTGGAAAGCCTATCAACCATGTTGTTTATCGTTTCTTTGAGGACGAGTATTTCTCCTTGGGCTTCAACCTCAATCTTCTGGCTCATGTCGCCATTTGCGATGGCTTGGGTGACGGTCGAGATACTGCGGACCTGTATCGTAAGATTTGAGGCCATGGTGTTGACATTTTCGGTGAGATCCTTCCATTTGCCTTCCACGTTGTCGACCTGGGCTTGTCCACCGAGCGTACCGTCAGTGCCGACTTCCCTGGCGACCTTGCTGACCTCAAAGGCGAAAGTGCCGAGGCGGTCCACCATGGTGTTGATAGTGTTCTTCAGATCGAGAATTTCACCTCGGACGGGTACTCTTATCTTCTCCGTAAGGTCGCCGTTCGCCACAGCCGTTGTGACCTTGGCAATTGCGCGCACTTGTGTCGTCAAGTTCATGGCCATGCCGTTGACGTTCTCGGTGAGATCTCTCCAGGTTCCTTCGACATCATGAACAGTGGCTTGGCCACCAAGCCTGCCTTCCGTTCCTACCTCTCGGGCAATCTTGGTTACCTCGCGGGCAAATTGCTGAAGTTGCTTCACCATGGAGTTGATGGTAGACTTGAGATCAAAGATTTCTCCCCTGCAATCCGCCTGTACGTTTTGTGTGAGGTCGCCCTTGGCCACAGCAGTTGTTACCTTGATGATGTCTCGTACTTGTGTCGTTAAGTTGTTTGCCATTGCGTTGACGTTGACCGTTAGTTCATTCCACATGCCTTTGACTCCCTCGACGTCGGCTTGACCACCAAGAATACCTTCAGTTCCTACATCGCGGGCTACTCGAGTGACTTCGGAGGCAAATGTTCTCAGTTGGTCTACCATGGTGTTGATCGTTTGTTGCAGTTGCAGGATTTCTCCTCTGGCGGGGCGTTCGATTTTCTTGGTCAGGTCACCGTGGGCGACAGCAGTGGTTACTGATGCGATTTCTCGCACTGCGGTTTGTTAGTAGAGTTCTAAAGTACGGTTTGCGCGTAATTGCTTACCTTGATCTGTGAGATTTTGGGCCATAACGTTGACTGAAATAATTGGTTAGCAGAGAGACTCAAAATCATGGGCCACAATCTAGGCGCACCATTGTCCGTCAACTCTTTCCAAGTACCGTCGACACCCTCGATGCGAGCCTGCCCGCCGAGCAAACCCTCGGTTCCGACCTCGCGGGCGACGCGGGAGACTTCGCTTGAGAAAACCTGTAGCTGATCCATCATAGTGTTGATTGTCCGTTTAAACGTGGTGATTTCAGGGTCCATTTCGACGGTGTTCATGCGGACCTTCTTGGAAAGGTCTCCGCGCGCAACGGCTGTGACGATCTCACCAATCTCTCGCAGGGCTTTCTGGAAGGCCTCGTTCGCCTTTTGGTGCTTCCATAGTTCCCGCTCCAGAGTCGCAACTCTCTCTTGTTCGATCTTGAAGAAGGCCTGTTCCTGGAGTTCCTTTTGCTCAAGGAGCTGGGCGGATACGCTGCTGATTTCCTGTCTCGCGCTAGAAATTCCTTTCTCCTGGTCAAGTACCTTCTCTTGCAAGCTCTCCAAGGCTTCGTCAGTCAGCGGGCTGTCTGCGAGGCTCGGATCGGCTGTGGCGGTACCTTCGCGTTGGAACTTGGTGGGCCCGGCGGCAACAGTGCGGCTGTTGGAGGATGACGGTGATGCGCCGTCGGAATCGTCGCCAAAGAGGGAACCGTGGACTTCGTTGGGCGTTTCCGGGAAAGCTACCGAGGCGTGGGCTCGACTCTCGAGCTTTTCGATTCTTTGGGCAAGCTTGGCAAGCTCGTTCTCGAGGCTTCGCTTGGCGGGGGTATCTCGACCTGGGAGCTCGATCCGCGCATCAACCTTGAAGGGAAGGGACATTGGCGTCGTGCCATCAGCGGCGAGGGATTGCACAATGGCCGCAGCAGCGGCCAATGCTGAGTCGTCGACCATGTTGAATTATTGTCTGTGGTTTGAATCTGCAAGCAGAGCAGAGAAGACGCTGCTTGTGATGTTGTGAGGCGGGGTTCGTGGGTGGTTGAAAATATGTAGGCCGAGGCTGGAGAGTTTGGACGGGAAACGGCGGGCGGGTATAGATCAAGAAGAGTTGTGGTCAACCAGCAGCATATTAGCTCAGTGAAGGCCTGGAACCAATGTGAATGTCGAAATCGGTAGCTTTTGGTCAGAAGCCAAGTCGTTCAACACTTCCTCGAATCTCGTCGACCCGATGTGTCAAAGACGATGGTGCTCCTATTTTTTTTCTTCTGCGGAGCGAAGGTGATTTGGGGGGATGTTGGGAAGGGGAGGAGTAAAGAAGGAGGTGGTGTTGGTGGGTTGGCAATATGAAGCAAGAGGACGAGGAGAGGAAAAAAAAAAAAAAGCAACGAGGCGAGCAAATAGCGAGGAGACACGCCCCGAAAGCGGTCAGGCGGATAAGGTAGGACGAGTGAGCTACTAGAGGCTAGAGGTCGCAAAGGAGCAGAACAGAGCGAGAGAGAAGAACTACTGCGTAAGAAGTACAGCGCTCTGGAGTATTCGTAGGTGAAGAGGAGATAAGGCGGAACATGAAGTACCTTGGACCGGGGGGTTGGACGGATACCACAGCGGGTTAAGGAGGGCGGATGTAGGGATTGGGGTGGGATGGGACGGCGAGGGGGGATGCTTGGGAGCAGAGGTGGGGAGCAAGATTGGTCGACGAGGCGAACGGTGAATTGGTCGTAGGACGAATGGTCCTTCTGGCGCAACACTTGGATTTCCCCTTCTCCCGCTCACTGCTGTTTCCCCTTTGCATGATTGGCGCTATTTGGTTAACCTGTCGCTGGTTGGATACTGAACGTTCAGGGAGAGAGGGATTCATCGGCACCGTCTCCGTGTGTACATCGCCATCAGGTGGATGGATAGGCTGATAGGGTAGACACGTAGTCGGTACTCGGGATGCGCATCGAAAATCGTTGCATCAAGATGTAGATTCTACGCCTAGACGGTGAGCTGCAATGCGCCTGGGATCACCAGAGATGGGGTAGAGGCTCCCCCGTACTCGGTACCTCACGGAGCAGGTACTTGAGAAATACATCTGTAGGTCGAGGGTGCAAAATGGGGCAAACTGACGGCGCTAGTATAAGTCGGTCCAGCCTTGCGTGTACTTTGTGCCGCCAGAGTTGCGGCAAGAGGTACATGCTGAGTCGAATAAATCCCGGCAGCACCCAAGAGGCACCCGGCGAATGAGACGGGCCTATGTGGAGTAGTTCTCCGTCAGGGGGGGCCACGAAGGACTCTCTCGCGCAAAGCAATTCGCTCCTCCAGCCCGCGGCCGACATGGAATACGAATGGTGATCGGTCGACCATCTTTCCTAACCCAGCGCAAGCGTCCACGCCCCAAAGGGGATTGTCAGAGGTCGACGGTGTGCTTGGCCCAAGGTCGTAGGCAATTTCAGTGATGAACACTGGCTTGAATGGCTGTTGTGCCCCTCCTCCTCCAAGCCCGACTTGTCTTTGCAACGTCAGTGGGAGGATGAACAAGTATCTCAATGTACCTACCCAGGTCAAGGGATAGGTAAGGTAATGCCTCGTACGCTCCCCGTGGGCATTAGACATGCTCTCTCTACCCTTACGTTCCTCCTTCTCTCTCACCTCTCACCTATCACTTGATTGATGGACAACACTGCCTCTCTGCATCTCATCGGTCTCTACGGAGTGGCCATGTGCCATACACCGTACTCAATAGCCAATGTCTGTGTGCCTGCCTTTTCGCCCACTCCGTTCACACTTCTATCACAGACATTAGGAACTGTCGATGCTCAAGACAGATTCAACAGCCCATCCGTGCATCTCACAGTTCCGTGACCACCGCCTCCCTTTCCACCGTCCTTTCGCTCCCCTACTTAGGCTCTGGGTACCTTACTGATAGGAATGGGATGGGGGCCAGACTAACCGTAACTACCTTAGTCCAGACGGTCGGAATGAGTCTACTCCTCGTCTGGCGATTCTGCCGTCTGGAGTCTACGCATTCGGCCTTGTCGACCGTTGCCGCCACCTGTCCACCTGGCTGAGGCGGCTTGCCTGATATCTCATCTCGCAGTCTTCGTATCCCGTCAACCTCGAGCCGAAGGGCTTCCGCATGCTTCACTACATGTATCTGTACGCAGTCAAGCAGTATCCGTGCCCGGTCTCCAATATTTGCTAGGCGAGAGACAAAAAGGAGCCGTATCGTAAGGGAGATGCGTGCTAATGGCGTATCCGTTCTTCGTACACTACACCACCACACCAACCACATACACACAGTAGACGTCTGCAGGGGTGCAGAAGTGCTAATTGCTACTCTCTCGACCCCGGTCTGTCAGCGCGTGTTCTCCTGTGGCCTACCTGCAAAGTAACGACAGACTTGGTACCTATCCGTGGACTGTACGGATAGAGTCCTGTGGCTTGTGGCTGTTTGGGCACTTGCAGCAGCGCTCCCGAGGCGGCCTAGCGGTACGTGCTGGACGTGACGGAGGTGACGGGCGTGACAGGTTAGAACCGTTTTCTTTCGCGATTGGTGTGGGGAAAACCAACGCATATGCCCACGGTGGAGAACCTGGTTGGATGGATGCTTGCTTGAAAGTTGAGGTGACTTTCTTCTCCCTCCGCAAAAAAGTTGCGCCTCGGTTTTCACGGAATAGGGGTCTTGAGACTGAGCAGACAAAACATCACTTGTTGCTTCTCTCCAGGCTCCCTGACTCCCTCTCCAAGGTTGATGTCGTCCCTCATGCTGCCACACCACGAGGGTGCCACGGGTATCCGTATGTTGTATCCAACGAGTTTCCGGAGCTGGAGCACCGGCGATTGGTAGCGACGATGGTCTCCGTATGGAAAGGCAGGGTAGTATTTCTCAGCTGGGTGACGGCGGGAGGCTCCTGGCCGCCCCCATCCACGATTTGAACCGACTCCCATGGCCACCAACAGCGTTGCTTTGCATTCCCTTCTCGTCTCCACAACGGTAACCTGCGGCGCTCGCTCCTCCTCGCCGTTGTCCCTCTGCAGCTGCTACGCTGTGCCGCACATGGTGGAGCGGCCAGCCGCTGTAAGCCTGTGTCTGTAGGCCAGTAATGAGGATACCAACTAATACCAACAAACTTGAACGGCAACGGTTTCTTAGGTAAGGTATGCCTCCGCGGCCCGCTTCAGATCCAGGATCGGGTCCAGAGTGGGCGAGTCCACGGTTTAGAGAGTCGAGAGGAGTCGAGATTCGATAAATCCGGACAGGCCTAGCCGCCCGGCTGTCACATGGCGCATCAGGGAATGCCCGTGCTTGGTTTGCCTGCCCCAACCTCAACTCTCCCCTCTGCATTGTTTGCAAGCATGGGAAGTTGGGAACCAGTTCCAGATTCAGCAGCTGATATCGAGATCGAGATTCCCACAATGGAGAGGGCGAACATACCCTTAGTCAAGCTTCTCTTTTTGTAAAGGGATAGGTAGTCTCTTGTCACTGGCTTGAGTGTTGTACTCTCCGACAGACGGAAGCCAGCCGGGCAAATATAGTGCGTAACTGCAGGTAAAGTATAGATAGATGCGGAAAATGGCACTCAGTTGCTGCGTGCTACGAGCTGAAGACGTCGATGAGGTAAAATAGACAGTGCCAGAGATAAGCACGCACGTGATACTTATCTTTCTTACCTTACCTACCTCAGGTTCCTTCCATTCCTCCCTCAACTACTCCGTACCTACCTTACCTACGGAGTATCAAATGTGCCTCCTTCCTGCATCTGCGCTGGGCTCCTGCGGGAAAGAAGAGAAAAGAAAGAAAGTGCGAGCTAACTCACTGTGAAGCAAGTGCCAGGGGTCCAAGGTCAGGGGTCCCGTCGTCCCATCCCGATCCCATTTCTCTCCCCCCTCTTACACGGTGCACCTTCCTATCTTCCTCCGCCCAAACCAAACAAAGAAAGGAGCCACACACTTTCTTTGACTTCCCTCGACGTCCCTTGGAAAAACTTGGGGGACTTGGGGACTTCTCGAAAACATCGAGTGCTCGGCAAGTCGCCGTCCGTTGCCCCGCCCGTTACTTTAGTCTTTAGGTTGAGCTTGAAGTTTGCTCCGGTCACTGCCCAGGCGTGCGGCGTGCCAGTCTGCCAGCCTACAGGGAGTTATGGATGCCCACTCCCCTCCCATTCTCAACGTCTGACTTTCACACTAGGTACGGTACTAACGCCCACGAACGACACCGTCTGAGAGGCAGCCACTGCGATCGTCAGGGTCAACTCTCAAGGTTTCCACCCGTCAAGAACGACTGTCCGGGACGCCGTCCAAAGATCGACGCGCAATGCCTTCTTCGTCCGTTTCAACATCTCGCGTCGCTCGTCCTTTCATTACAACCGTATCGCTGGGATGCCCTCTAGATTTCGACTATCCTAGATCTCTGGCCTCCAATCCATGAGCCCTTGCAACCCATATTGCTCAACGTCCCTTACTTCCGTGCCCCCGCGCGTGGCTCTTTCCCCGGAAACGCATCCTCAGGACACCGCCTGGTTGACAGCCATTCAACAGTCCTCGTTAGTAACCAAGACAGCCCGAGCTTCTCACTGTTTGTGTCCCGTATTCAGTCTGTGCCTTTCACGCGGCATCGGCACGCCTCTGCCTCAAACCCATTTGTCGGCTCGGGCTGTTCTACAACCTAACATCAACGGCGGTACGGGTACGGATGCTGTGAGCCTGCCGCCTGCCGAGAAGCCCAAGCCATCGACGTCACTGTGGTCCACGAGATATCTAATCTGATTCGACCTCAGGCCACACCGCCCTGCACCGAGAGCGATCGTTGACTCGCGAAAGCTACTTGCTCAAGGAATGCCCATTTTTGGTCTTACCCTAGCGATCGCTTGTCCAAGAATACTTATGGATAAACGAGGTCGATGCCAGTCTCAGATTCGCTGTCTCCCCGAAGATGTCGTCGATGACTCGGTTGAGCCAGCCCGAAGACCTTCTTGGATAATTCTAGTCTGGAACTTCATCGACCATCCCACCTTTGCTCGCCTCAAAGCCCAACCGGCCACCCGGCAGTTTCCAAGAACTGTTCAGAACAGAGGCTGAGAATGGGTCTGGGCTTAACGCTGAACCCCTATTTTCCACGCACCTTTTGCCGCCATGCGAGCTAACAAGATTAAGTTTACTGGCAGGACCCTCACCGAGAGTTCCTTCGTTGTGCCAAACGCCAATGCCATACAAACAGCTGCTATAACACGATTCAACAGGCTTTACCACCAAACCATGACGCTTCGCAGGCCGCAGCCTATTGCAGGTAGCTTGGTCATTACATAGTCGCCAATGAACCCGTTGTTCATCTTGTTCCTGCCGCTGGGCCGATGATATAAGTCACTGTGAGCGGTGTGCTAGCCGGACAGTTTCCGACTACACTAGGTAGACCAGACCGCTTCCACTATTCAATAACAGTGATTCTGATATCAATTGAGTTGACGTTGAGCTCCGACGTTGTCTCGCGAGTTAACCTTGCTAGCAGATACAATATACATTCGTAACGATGATTACCACGGATCGTACTGGTGGTACCTGGAGACTGCGCTTCGAGCCCAATTGGGTACGTAATCGCTACCAGCATGTTACGGAAAGGC